ACAAACATATCGTGTGGCATTCAAAGCTTACGCTAGAATTGAGCTCCAATGATTTTATGAAAACTAGAAATGAAATTTAAAAAATTTAAAACTTATATTGAAGTCTAATGTATAACTTGAGTTCAAGTCAATTGTATAACTTGAGTTGAAGTCAATTGTATGAGTTGAAAAGCTCGTGGATGTTTTTCCAATCCAAAATTTACTATCATGAAATTTATAGTTTATTTTAATGATTTAGACAAGGTTAATGATTGCTAGGCTTCGTGTGCAGATGTGAGTGCACCTGTTCAATCCTGTTCGATCAATGTTTGATGAACTCAATTCTATAACTTGAGTTGAGAAGCTCGTGCCAGTTTTTTCCAATTCGAATTTCACCATCATAAAATACATCATTAAATTTGATGATTTAGACAAGATTAATGATTGGGAGTCTTTGTATGCAGACGTGAGTGCACCTGTTCAATCCTGTTCGAACGATATTTTTGCAATTAGACCAAGATAAATTATTGTTGCTACAATACAGGTTGGTAGGAGAATAAAGTGCATACGACATCGGAATGAATAAAAGCAAATATTTTAACGACCGATAATTACAACCACCCATCGTTAATATAATGGACCACAATGGAAGCCGTTCATTAGTTTCTTCATTAATTTTACGAAACAAACAAGGCACACTAACGACTATTCGTCACTACGTTAAGTTTATCAGGCTAATGGACTTGATGATGTCCGTAAAAGTTTATTTCATTTCTTTGAGATGAGCATGGTGAAACTGAATATTCATGTTGATGTAAACACTTTTTTACGTAGTATCATTCTTTCAAAGTTCAGTATCCACAATAGACGATTTTTTAATTTTTAAAAGTGCTTTATTTTTAATTTGTTCCAACAGGCTTGTTTGAATGGAATAGGAGGAACCTCTTTTGAAGTAAAAAGAATTCATAAGCAATTTTCACAATTACTATTATGCTGTAACTGACTCATTAGCTGAGGGCTGCTATTAACATCGAATACGGGCAAACTTTGTATTTGTCAGTAATATTTTTGTATTTAAATCACGTTCTTCTTGTACAGTTGAGGGGACCTCAACTCAAAACAGAGGCTGGTACCATCATCCTCATTGCTCCTCTGGTTTCCATTTCATTTCATTTTCTAACTGCATGTAACTTATAGAAAAGGCGGCAAATTATTATTATTGAGTGTTTTAACATAAGATAATTCACTAGTTTGGGATGGGAACAATCTAGTTATATCTAAGCCGTGAAAAATAATTGCGGTAATATGGGCCAAAAGGTTTTCGATTCAAGCTATATAAGCTTAGTCATGCACATACCGCATGACATGACGTGAGCGAGTCACCCCAAAACAAAAATCTGAAAATAAAAAATTTGACGTATTCTATCCCAAGCGTGCAACACTGGGCGCTACAACACGTTATATACGCTATTACATACGTTATATATCATATTATATACGTTACATACGCTATTATACGTTACAATACTTTATTTAAATGATAAAAGATGACACTTTGACCGCTTATCATCCAAGCGTCTAATACTCATCGTTCACAAATTGCCGACCCGACGCGGCCAATGGTTTTTTGACTTTAGAATGAAAACACTTCCCTTTAATGTAACTAATCAAAATGTTTTTGATGCATTCTAGTGATAAATAAAAGCAAGTAGCGTTTTATGTATAGAATCACTTCCACCGGCATTATGGAAACGTATCAGTTTCAATAAGCACCGCAAACGTTTCAGTGGAGCGGACTGAGTATAAAATGACGTATCAGCGGCACTGACTTAGTAAATTCTGAAATTCAGCGAGACCGAGTAGACAACAACGTAAATGGAAGCCATTTGATTTATAAACAAAAGCTTATAGTCTAGGATGAACGTAGGGTCAACGGAGCTTCCGCAACGTACGTGGAAGTTCCTATACCCGGGTAGGTTAAAAAATTCTTTCAGTGAATTTGCGGGCCAATATTGTTCAGACGAAATCCTATTGCCTTTGATTGATAATGACTGATAGTTTTATAATTAATTAATGTAAAATCCGACCACATTTCATTGAACTGTTTGGAAAGACATGCTTGCAGAATTTGATGCCGATGAGCAATGTTTTGCTTACAGATTAAAAAATGTAAGGTCGGAAATATTAGGCCAGTCGAAATCACCGTTATTCGCTCAGCGAATCGAGGTGATGAGTTTCTTTAACGAGACAAGCGATTTTATTAACGAGTTCAGAGAGCAATAATGTGGTTCACGCAGTTTATACTTGTTTATACGTGATCATATTATCCAATGTTATTGAGATAACAGTGAAGAACAGAGCTGAACTTGATAACTTGGCAGTTAAGATCAAGAATCACCCATGTGTGATTTTATTATAACTTGAAAGATGTTTGAATAATTATGCGGTACTATTTTTTAAATATTTATTGTACTCGTATTTGCCAGGAAAATTTCGAATTAACTTCATTTGATTTGTGGAACATTGAATATTTACACAGATAGAGGGATGTTGAACCTTATAGAAATTAAGTGTATTATTTCAGCGAGTTGAAAATAACATGTTGCTATCATTGATGACCTGTGAATAGGATATTCAAAACGTTTTACATATGATTTATTAGCCAGTAATTTATCAGAAAATATTGAGCTTTTTTCTCTCAATGTAAGATTTACGATGCGAATAATACTTAGATATCATTCAACAAAGTATTCTGTTACCATTCCTCCAAAGCTGAGGTGTTCAGCGTACAGGTTTTGCCATTCAAATTGTAGGAATAATTTTCTCTGAGGGAGATAGGGATGAGAGAGGAAAGAATCTTAACCATAAAAATAATTGAATTTAATGATGAATCATGAATTTAAAATCATGAATTTAATCAAATCATGAATTTTTAATTAAAATCATGAATTTAATTTAAAATCAATCTCAAAATCATGAATTTAATTATTTTAAAATTTGAATTTTAACGCTATCACGCCGTAGAATGTAAAAAACCTAAAAACGTAAAAAAACGAACGTAAAAAAAAACCTAAGGTGGTTTTCCAGATTCCAAGTTAGAATTTCTTCCAAATTGCGGTGAAGATGGACATGTTATTTCACAAAAGTTCTTCCATTATTTTCAATACTGTTTAGAGAAGGAACTGCTTTTTAATTTTGTATTGAAAAATATCAAGTTTCAGTTTAATGTGTTGTGATTTGGACTAGAGATTAAGAACAAGGTATTTTCCAGATTTTATATTCTAAGATCGAGGACAAATTTCTCCTAAGAGGAGTCGTGTCAGTAAGCAGTTTGAGGTAATAAATTTTCATGTGTTATAAATAAATTTGAGTCCATGGTGTCACCTAGACCTTGCCTCAGGCGCGTCTAAACGAACGTGATAACGAACGTGTGTCTTGACGAACGTGTGTCTTGACGAACGCGCGAACGTGATAACGAACGTGTGTCTTGACGAACGTGTGTCTTGACGAACATGTGTCTTGACGAACGTGTTTTTTGACGAACGTGTGTCTTGACGAACGTGTGTCTTGACTAACGTGTGTCTTGACGAACGTGTGTCTTGACGAACGTGTGTCTTGACGAACGTGTGTCTTGACGAACGTGTGTCTTGACGAACGTGTGTCTCTGTCTCTTATACACATCTAGATGTGTATAAGAGACAGCGTGTGTGACGAACGTGTGTCTTGACGAACGTGTGTCTTGACGAACGTGTGTCTTGACGAACGTGTGTCTTGACGAACGTGTGTCTTGACGAACGTGTGTCTTGACGAATGTGTTCATGTATAACGAGGACAGGAGCTGCGTGGGAGGAAGCAGCACGTCTATAAAAGGGCTGGGCACTTCAATAAGGCCCTCCAGTAGCTTGCACGACCGCAGTGAAGTAGTGCGCATTGTAGGAGTCTGGCGGTCGAAGGTTTAAGCCGTATACCTAAACCTTTGTAATGACACACTCTTTTAGATAAGTCCAAGAGAACGTGTCTTACTTATCCCTAGAAATAGTCATCGAAACCTTTTATGCAGGTTAAACCCATATAATATGTATAATATACCTGTGGTACCTCATTTAAATACCCGGTCTCGCAAGGCGACTAAAAAAGAGAATTTTTTGTTTGTGAAAATCATGCGATGTACCCTGTAGTGGGGAGCGAATTTAAATTATATTTATTGCGAATATCATTCAAATTGCGAATTTCTGATATTCAAATTTCAATGAATGCGAATATCATTCATTGAAATATCAACTTTATGAAAGTCAGAAAAAGAATAGTAATAGTATAGGAATAGCTGCGAAGTCAGGATGCATGAATAGTAAAAAACGGGTAGCCCCGATTAAACATAGAACGTTACATTTCGAACGGCTGAAGTCAATTAATACATTTCTAAACATAGCAGAATTTGTTTATGGTACAGAAGAAGACACTATACGATAAAGCCAAACTTGCACTAATTGAAATGTTGGACTAGGCATCTCACTAATGAATTCATCATTGTTGTTATAATTGTTAAAATGTTTATAGTTTTTCAATACATTTTTGTTAATCATTTATATATAAATTTGCTCGACTTACCGGACCATCCTTGAGTAGAAATTATCGCGAACTGAAATTGATGCAGGTTGCAGCGTTTCCCCGACGTCGTAAAAAATCACGAGCATTTATGTTTTTTATGCAATTAATTCGGACTTAATTCAGGGTACAATTTATGGAATTCAGTAGTTGCTTCAGCGAGCCTGTGCCAAAGTAGTAAATTGTACTTATGACTATGTGTAAAGCGTTTAATACAACTTGAATAGTTGTGAGGTAAAAGTTAATTAACAGGTATATTAAATTCTTGTTCGGTAATAAAAATAAACTATGCCTCACAGCTGAAGTGACAAACGGCTAGAGAGGTAACCATACCTTAATCAGGCAACAAGAATAATACTTTTGAGGAGAGGCCCTATTTTTATTTATAATTGGTTTTAAAACTTTCGGGTCAGAAGCATCTCCCAGCCCGATCTCTTTCAATGAGTAAAGGCTCTATATAAATGAGCGAACTCATTTAGTTTGGTGAGGTGTGGCACCTCAAAAAGTCACGAAATAACGCTTGCGTTGATGACACCGAAATGATGAACCGTAAGTTATAAAATCTTGAGCGTACAATGATTTATTCATTCAATGTGCATATAATTTTTCAGATGCATTCCCTCACCGCCGTTCTCTTGGCTGTGATCAGCCTGAGCGCTTCATGCTACGGCAAAATTTACACGAAGTGCGCGCTTGCCAAGGAGCTGAAATGCGTCTACGGCTTTGAGCAGAGCAGCCTCGGCGACTGTGAGTAAATCCCTTCGTATTTGTTTCCATGATAAAGCTGAGGATAATTTCACAAAATTCAGAGTATGGCAGTAGCATTATTTTTTTATTAGAAATATCCCACTTATAAAATAAAACTAATTCCCTACCTATCCTCTCTGAACAGGGGTGTGTTTGGTACAGCACGAGAGCTCCTTCAATACCGCGGCTGTTGGACAAAACAAGGGCAGTAAGGACTATGGCTTGTTCCAGGTAAATCATATTATCGTGTCATCATGGCTCCTAATACGCCTTTTGCCTGTTAAGGAAGAACTCCATTATATATAGCTGATTATAGGATAGCGATCGGAAAGATCAATGTCAATTTTGAAGCATTAAATATGGTCGAAATTCATATAGCAGACTTCATCATAGTCACTAGTCAACGAAGTCTTTTCTAGTTCATCTGCATTTGCGGTAATCACATGGGGTAATCACTCTGAAAACGGAAACTTTTGCGCACTTTGTTTAATAGTTGACTAAATAAAACTGAAGATTGGGTTTTAGAACGTAAATTATGCATAAAGTTACTCTATTTCTGCTGGTATCACTGAAAATTTGAGATAACAAGAATGGGAATTTATCCTTTACCTGATAGTTTGGAGCCATACCAAAAATGTGTAAAATGAATTATATTACAGTCAGTCGATCTAAAAATGAAGTAAAACAGTGAATCCGTACATCGTTGACCACATCTATAAGCAAGTGGCAACTACAAAACCAAAAAGCTTATAACACGAGAATAAAATCATTATTCACATAAATCATCAACATTGACAACAGATAAATTTCTGGAATTTACTGATGATGTACGAAGATCTTGAAGGGTCATTAATCGGGTAGTCGTAGGCATAATAGGGATATAACATTACATGCAAATTGGGTAAACTTTCGAACCGAATAGGAAGAAAAATTAGAACAATATTCAGAATTTTAAAAGAGGATCGCATTAGTAGCAGGTCGTGTGCCTAAAATTTGTGAAGAGGCAGAGATTGACGTCTCGAAGAAAACAGTTCATCGGATGATCCAAACTGCACTATTGCACAACTGTCAAAAAGTGTCAAAGCCGAACAAAAAGAAAGATCGGGAGGAAATAATTAGCGGAGTCTCGTACAATGGGATTAAATTATTGTCAGTGATGAATCCTAGTTTTAATTTTTAGGTTCAGATGAAAACAGTTTTTATTCTGAAACTTGTATGTTCGTCTGGGCAGATCAACGACTATTATTGGTGTAGTTCCGCGGGCAAAGGCATCAACTACTGCAACATCAATTGTGACAGTGAGAATATGTTATGCTTAATTAGACATTAGTTACTACCTGTTAGCGACTTAAAAATTATTAATGGGCCCAATAAAAGAATCGTAGCTTTAGTTAAACACAGAAGTAAAAAAAACGACCAGTTTTTCTCGTGCAATTTCTTTTCATAGAAGCACCTATTTATTTTAATTTATTGAATTGGCTTCTAAATTCAATGTGAAACTAACTGACTTTTAATTCGTTTGCGTTACCTTAGAATATGTTTTTCGAAATCCAGAACTGAAGGACAACGATATTGCGGACGACGTCAAATGCGCCAAGAGGGTGTATTCGCGCCACCGCTTCTACGCCTGGAACGGCTGGAAGGACAACTGTCAAGGCAAAGACTTGTCCTCCTACATCAGTGGCTGCAACCTCAGCTGCTATTGACAGCAGCTGCCTCTAGAGCTGATGCATGGATCTTCCTGCGCGATGATCGGCATTTGGTTTAATTTAATTAACGCACTTATTTCATTTATATTATGTGCATTCTGCCTCTACGGCGCCTGCTCAATGCGCTGGTTTTACATTTTCACACTATTTAATCATATTTATTTACCTTAATATTGACTGATTTATGAATTGCTCTTAAATCTCTATATAAAATGTGTTTTTGCATCAGAATATAAACCCTTGGTAAAATATGCCTTTCATTTTCCTTGTTATTCCTTATTAATAAAAAGTTGCTAGTATCTCTTATTAGATAGTAAATTACTTTAAATTGGGTTACCTTTCTACGTTGCATTACGCCCAAATCCGCATTTATTTAAATTTGCAAGCTCTGTAATACGATGCTCCTATCAAGCATGGGTTGGGACCTTACCCATTTTGCATTTTTCAATTACATTCCTGCTTCATTTCCTTGTCGTTTTCGAACAGATCTATCATCAAATATAAACGACGAACATATTTTTTCTTTGCTATGCTTTGTGGTCCTAGGGTTTCAAGTTTGTACTGAGGAAAGTCTATGGGTAATCTTCGAGACCGGCGAGATTAAATGTGCTCCAGCAAACCTGAAGATCGCGGCCACTTTGGATTTGAGTTCAAAATTACGTAAAAGCAATTTTGTAACTATAAATTAAATTAGGCTATGAAGAATGTTAGGAAGAGATTTCATCAAGTATTCGTGTCAGTCTTCATACGTTTTTATCGAATATCAGTGCAATCTTCACATGTGAATTATTGCTAATGTGCTGCAAGTTCGTCAAGATTACGCTAACGCAATGGCTAAAGTTGATACATTTGACTTCGAGATTTTGACGGTGCATTTTTTATCAAAAATTGTAATCGCGCTGTTAGCACGGGCACTGTCGTCTGCCAATACATGATTTAAGACGCTAGCACGTTCACGTAAACACGGTGACATGGGCATCAAATAGCTGTTCAATAGGCACAGTATAAAACTTCCACGGCACATGCAGTCAGGGAGAGGTCACATTGCGTGATACAAAATTAACAGTTACCACTTACTAGCTTCCAATATAAAGGCAACAACAATAATTTGACTCATCAGCTTTCAGGACACAACTGCCTTCTGGAATCCGAACTGCAGCGGACACACGACCTCTCCCTCTCCACCTTGCGCTTGGACCGATCTCGCGTGAAAAGTTCGGAAGCGTATGTTACGCAGCCGATCTCGCTTGGCTTTCCTAATCACTTAAAATTATAATTTGATATAAGTTTGAGAGGATTGGACATAACATGTACAAAAAAATAATCTACAATTTTTCATCGTTCATACAATTAGCGGATTTAAAATTTTCAAGATAACATAAGATTTGCAATTTATCGTTGTTTTAAATTAAGGCGAATGAGGTCTGTTCGCCGGGCAACAACCCCTGCCAAATTTATTCTAATTTGCCATAATTCTGACCACTGCTGATTATCATTGCTATCATGCTGATCTTCATCGATCTATTCACTTCACATAGAAAGAAATATTATGATCAAAATGACCTAATATGATAAATGTATCCATCGTAATTGGCAGTTTTAGCGTTCGAGTTATGAAAAAATTTCAGGAGTGGAAGTAATTCTAAATTAGTTATAATTAACACATTTAATATATAATAATCACTTTGATAATCAAAGTTCCATGAACGATTAAGCGGGTGTCATTATTTTTCTTTAATTCAACATTTTTATTGACGGCAAGTTTCAAAATGAGAAAGAGACTTGAAGTTAAAAATAATTCAGATGCAAATTGAAATTAGAAATAATAGCATGAAACGCTTGTCTACTTTTTTTTGTAAAACTTATGATAAAATTTTGAAATGAAACCAGAAAAAAGGAATTATTTCTATTCTACATGCCATCAATTTGAGAGAAAATGTCTGTCTTAGACGAATAATAAATTTGAGTTTCCAGTTTCTATAAAATTGATTTATCTACTCAATTTTTTCACTAAGCTTCATCGAGGCCTGGTAAATTAGTTTACTTTTTTACAGTTACCATAAACCTTTTTATAAAAATATTCCACATTCTACTACCAGAAAAGAAAATGTCTATACAGAAATCCAAGATTTTGAAATGGCAAGTTTTTCAAAAAACATAAACATTATCGATCTTCTATATATGAAAATTATCTTACATATAATCAGATATTTGTAAAAATTCAGGTTTCATGAGAATAATTTTCGATGCTTGACTTAAGGCACTATAGTTGCTGTTATCCACTAAGCCTGTCATTATAGCGGCACTGACGGACCATAAGAAAGTGATGTACACTGAACATCGCTTTACGATGTCTAGCAACCACACAACGAATTGAAAGCCTAAAAATCCACTTGACCCTTCAAAGCCCCGACGGGTTTTTTTACCCCAAGACCCGGGAAAAAACCCCATGGACATATCGTTAAACCGAATTATGCGCTGAGCGCCTGTTCGCCTTCTACTATCGTTTCCATTTCCCCATCTTCTTTCTGGCCACCCTGAGCCTACTCTTGATTTTTTCCCACATTTCCTAGTGGCACCGCCACCACCACCACCATCGCTTAACGATAAGGCAAATGATATCGGCATGGGTCCAAGCTTTCAAACGGGACTGGCAAGAAATCAATCAGATCTGAAAACAATTTACTGATGTGTTAGAAATTTTTAAAGCCATTTTTCTTTAAAAAAAAAACGCACGTGTCTGCGAATAGGCGACAACTTTACGTTTTTAGTTGTCACGGAATGCATAATTGGTGAATTTGTAATAGCCCAATTTGTGTATTCATAATAGCCCAAAAAACACCTGCAGAGAAATAATGAAATGCAATTCTGAAAGTTGTTGAAGGGCTTCAGAATATTCGTCAGCAATCAGCGCCTTCGCACACAACTTGTGTTTTCTTTATGTTATGCTGAAAATGCGTAGCAAAATGTACATCTTTCGCGTTCGTTTTCAAGGTCAGATGAAAACACTATTAGTGATGGAATGGTGCAGAAATAGGTTGGGGCCTTCATAGATGGCCGCACAAACTTTCATGTTGAGGAACGAAGTTTGAAAATTTCACTCATTGTCGATGATATGATTCAAAATATGGATCATAATGTGAATAATATACGTTTAAAAATTACTTTTTAAAGACAACACTTCTAAAGAATCCACTGTCTACAATGTTACATATGTACAATGAATTTCTCATTTTATTTTCGAATATTAAAAAAAATAATTTTTCAATTTTTTAAATATATAAAATTTTGTTTTAAAATTATTTATTCTGTCAATTGATTCATGCATTGCCTCCGACTTCACACAACTGCGCCAAATTTCAGATCAATTGGACAGGTAAAAGTGTGTCAAATATCAGATATAAGATTTGTAGCTGACAAAATTATTTTTTCAGTTTTTTTAATATTGAAAAAAAAATTTTAATTTTTAAAACAATTTATTTTAACATTTGATTCATGCATTGCCTCCAACTTTACGCAAATGTGCAAAATTTCGGATCGATAGGATAAGTAGAAGTGTGTTAAATTTTGATTATAAGATTTGTAGCAGACAGACAAACAAGAAGTGAAGTTAAAGAGAAGTGTTGTAATAAAAACTGGCATTGAACGCGATCGCGTCCATTTGCAAATGTGAATCAATCAACATAAGCTTAATTGACGTATTTTCTGGTGTAAATAGAATTCTTCTAATGTTTTACGTCGACTTAATCACATCTTTTCGATTGAAAAAAAATTGACATTTGAGGCAAACCTGTTTGCAGGATTAATTAGTAATTAATCCAGAAAATGATCGCCAGTTTCTGACACAAAAATATACCGTTATGTGTTTCGTATATGCAGATTTTTTACCAAATTTTCATAAAACATCGAACGAGTATAAATGCATTGGCCAAACCTTCATTACTGCATTTCTTCTAACAATAATTAATGCTCTGTGAGCCCGACTGAGGAATGTCTAATTCTCAGCTCGGATTTTTTTTTTTGTATTTTCGGATAGATAAAACAGAATAAATTTTCATCTAAATGCATTACCTAAATATTGATCGAAAAGAGGGCTAAATAGTTTCCACGTTGATTAAAATGATTGGATGTGCTATACTGATTTTTAAAATGTGTTCTAAATTCATATCAAGAAAAGAGCATTTTTTGCCCTCATGTTATGGTGCCCTCATTTTGATGGTGACTTCGAATCTTAATTCCGCACCAAAGGATGGGCAACTCAGACGTCGTCCACCGCATTTAGATTGGGTCTCTATAAACAAAATTAGCGGAGCCTCACATACACGACATACATACGACATTCACCAGATGCAAACGATCAGTCACATGCAGACTATATCAATCATACAGGTCATTTTCTCGTCACAAGAAAACGATCACTTATTCGCCACATGCAACCGATCACCGGTTCACCACATGCAACCGATCACTTATTCGTCACATGCACACGATTAATTATTCGTCATGGGCAAGTGATCCCTTATTCGCCACGTGTGAGCGATCACCTGTTCGCCACATGTACACGATTAATTATTCGCCATACACATACGATCAATTATTCGCCGCGAGCAAATGATTACTTATTCGCCACGTGAACATGATTAGTTATTCGCCATATATATACGATCGACTATTCGCCTCCTACAAGCGATCAATTATTCGCCGCAATCGATCAATTATTCGTCAACTATTCGCCAATAAATCAACTATTCTCCACATACAAACGTACACGTATAACTCTCATTGGATGTGCTATACTGCGCGTATAACTCTCACTGGATGTGCCATACTGATTTGTAAAATGTTTTCTAAATACATGTAAAGAAAAGAGCACTTTTTGCCCTCATGTGATGGTGCCCTCATTTTGATGGTGACTCCGAATCTCAATTCCGCAAAAACCGATCCCTTATTCGCCACATGCACACGATTAATTATTCGTCTCGGACAAGCGATCAATTATTCGCCACGTGTGAGCGATCACCAATACGCCACATGGACACGATTAATTATTCGCCATACACATACGATTAATTATTCGCCACGAGCGAGTGATCACTTATTCGCCACGTGCACACGATTAGTTATTCGCCATATATATACGATCGACTATTCGCCTCCTGCAAACGATAAATTATTCGTCAACTATTCGCCAATCAATCAACTATTCGCCACATACATAGAATAAGTACATGTATAACTCTCATTGGATGTGATATACTGATTTTTAAAATGTGCTCTAAATTCATGTAAAGAAAAGAGCAGTTTTTGCCCTCATGTGATGGTGCCCTCATTTTGATGGTGACTTCGAATCTTAATTCCGCACCAAAGGATTCGGACTCAAACGTCAAAGGACTCGGGCGTCGTCCACCTCATGTAGATTGGGTCTCTATAAACAAAATTAGCGGAGCCTCACATACACGACATACATACGACATTCACCAGATGCAAACGATCAGTCACATGCAGGCTATATCAATCATACGTTTTTTTCGTCACAAGATAACGATTACTTATTCGCCACATGCAACCGATCACTTATTCGCCACATGCACACGATTAATTATTCGTCACGGGCAAGCGATCACCTATTCGCCACATGTACACGATTAATTATTCGCCATACACATACGATCAATTATTCGCCACATACGATCGATCACTTGTTCGCCACATGCAGCCGATCATTTATTCGCCACATGCACACGATTAATTATTCGCCATAGACATACGATTAATTATTCGCCACGGGTAAGCGATCACTTATTCGCCACGTGTGAACGATCACATATTCGCCATATGCCCTCGATTAATTATTCGCCACGCGCGAGTGGGCACTTATTCGCCACGTGCACATGATTGCCCTCATGTATTATTAAATAACATGTATAATGTGCCCTCGTGTGCCCTCATGTGCATTATTTGCCCTCGTGAAATTTCTCATGTAATTATTTGTAATTATATGCCCCCTTATAATTTTAAATTTTAATTGCGAACATTAAAAAAATTCAATTTTTTAATTATTTAAAACATAGAAGAAATTATATTTTCAAAATTATTTATTCTGTCAATTGATTCATGCATTGCCTCCGACTTTACGCAAGTCTGCAAAATTTCAGATGGATTGGACAGCTAGAAGTGTTTTAATAAATATTGATTATAAGATTTTCAGCAGATAAAATATATAAAAAAAATATTTTTTAATTATTTATTTTATCATTTGATTCATGCATTGTCTCCAACTTTACGCAAGTGTGCAAAATTTCAGATCGATAGGATAAGTAGAAGTGTGTTAAATTTCGATTATAAGATTTGTAGCAGACAGACAGACAAACAAGAAGTGAAGTTAAAGAGAAGTGTTGTAATGATAAAAAGTTAAAAAACGGACCAAAGAAAAACGAAATCGCGATTTTGTTCTTAGCTTGGCACTTAAAGAAGCATCTAGCCGAGGAGCGCCATTCCGATGCTGACGAAGCGACCACGACTGTGAAGCAGTGGTTGTCTAATCACGCGGCAAGCTTCTTTGGTGGTGGCATACAAAAGCTGGTCCCAAGATACGATAAGCGCCTCATTATCAATATGAATCATGTATAAAAGTTGAATAAAGTATGGCTTTTAATTTTTTTCAAGTGAAAACGGTACATACTTGAGCAAACCGTTCGTACATTAGATATTAGTTGATTAGGAACACATGAATAAAATGGGCAGATTTGCTTCACTATCCTCTTAAACGTGATTGAACTTTTACTCGATTATGTATATGTATATCAAACTATCGACTATGGTAGTTTTCACGAAATTTTATTATCCGTTTTTGCGGAACTTGTGTCAGTGACGACTGTTATATTGGTATTTAGTTAGCGACATCGCTTTCGTGATAGTGACTCACACCATAGAAACGTAATTAAACGTATTTAGAAATTTAAATACCTAACTCCTGACTTACATGTTATCTTACTGATAGTTCACTTTACAGTTTTTTATATTTTTAAATATCTGAAACTATGGCCCTCCGTATTCCATATGCACCACTCAAGGTAGGCTATTTACATTTTACTATTAGAGTCTACTCATCAAGTCATCATAGTAGCTAGTCCATACTCCATAGTCCATAACATAGCACTTACTTCTTCCAAGTCCATTGCCCGTAGTCTAAGTGACTAAGTCCATCCATAGGCTGGCACTTAGGCTTAGGGCTCAGGCTGCTGAGTTAGGCAGAGTGCATTGAAAATTTGACTGCATATTTCATGGAATAAGCAAATACTTGAATACTTGGCACTTAGCCAAGTATAAAAGTTACCTAGGTACCTATATCTATTTCTGAAGCCACAAGCAGCTGCAGCCAAGCCCACTGCTTTTGATAGTCTGATAACTACTGTAGAGCTTTCTTGCAATTTTTGAAGCTGCAAGATTCCTCTAATCCTCTTAGATGAAATTTGTAATAGTGGGCAGAATTTTTTTCCATTGCAGATGAAAACTATTGGCTTACACTGCAAATGATAGTTTTTCTATTTCTAGTTAATTGCCTGTAAAATTTAGGAAAAATTATCTAAGAATGCAGGCAAAAATTTCATTTCTTCTTTATACAAGAAACAATGCAAGAAAGAACCATAAAACATCTGAAATTGATCACAAGCAAGGACATTTTAGTTTCATTCAAGGGTGGTTTCTGACTTTCTGCCCAATTAATTCATCTAATGGGATTCTTGCATCTCTGACAGGGGCAAAAAAGGCTCTAGTCACAGCTGAAAATGTAGAAATCTATTCTACATCTTCAAACTAGTATTTTAGTATTTTATAATCCATGCCTGTATTTGAGATAGTCCTACATGAACTGCATAGTTCACGGACTTCCATAAGCTCATTTTGCCAGAGGAAAATTTACCTAAATTCTATATTTTCCTGAGTTTTGTCAGCAGGCATCAGAATTCAGATTCAGACTGCTGCACTTGAACTCTATTTAATGCTCATCAACAAGATTCAACAGTATGCTGAAATTTTGTCGCTCTAAAATTATACACTACCAATAGGTTTGAAGCCTTGTAGCTCAATTATAATGTTTTATTAATGATTAAGCAGAAGAAAAATATCTTGTGTTAATGACACTTCAGTTTCCATTAAATCATCGATTATAAATGTAACAAACCTTTAATAGAAAAATCTATTTCTAAACAAAACTGATGAACAATTTTCCAATGATATCAAAACAGCTGTGTATTGATGTGGAAAGTGAAAGCTTCCTTTAAATTTTCTAGGAATCAGACTCCCACTAGATCCTATCCAGTATAAATAGTTCTGCATGAACTGGTAGATTTATTCCACAAACTGTGTGACCTGCTTTTTTGTAATCTTTAACAATTTTTGAGGGGAAAGTAGTTATGTGCCGCAAAAGGGCACGGTAAGCAAATTTTCATATATTTAAACTACTTTTATTTAGCAATCATTAAGGAGTCCTCAGTTGAAATAATATGTTCCAAAATAACAAAGGGTTATATATAGGTTTTTTCATAGCATACACCATATACCTCTCAATTTATCTGATCATTTTGCCTTAATCAACCCCCATAAGGCATTGGCATTCACTCACTATTAAGTTTTTGTTTTCACTGTTAATAATGTTGTATTTTTCTTATTAAACTGTTTCAAAGATTAGTGTAATGTTTAGACTGGAAAAAAAAAACTTGCTGAGGACATGAAAGGTTGTAAAATGTCAAATTGTGAACTCAAGTAGAATTTTTTCCCTTCTAGGTTGTTTTCTTCATACATCTCATACTCATGGTGTGGTGAGTATCTTGCATATTAGTGATAAAGTAAGCTTTTCAAGTGCTCCTCAATAATTTATATGAAGAAATTATACATACATTCTTGCTGAATGCCAAAACAACAAATTACGAAATTAGTAACACCTGCTCTTTAGTCCATCATGAAAGTAACATCAATTAACACCTAAAAGAACTCAATCTGCTACAAAAATTTATTAGCTGAATTTGTTCCTGAATTTTGGTTTAAAAATGTGAAAAATTATAAACTTCAATTGTCATCTGTCATGACTGAAAAATATCTTTTATAAAAGTTTATCCTGACTAAGTTAACAGTGTGCATATATGGGTAAATGTTTCAATAATGTAAAAATTGAATTGCTCTCACTCTAATCACTGACTTTACTTATGAACGGCCAGGGCTTCAGAATCCATGTGGTTGCCTACATCATATCTTGGATACAACGGGCTGCTGCTGCTCATGATCCTATGGACAATTCACAGTCGGGACTCTGAGGAAGGACCATTCATGGGCATCATGGTAAACGCCGTGTCTATTGTGCTGGACTTGGTTACCATGGGCGTGTTCTGGCCAACGAGTCTTTCGAGCGGACTGCGGTGGTTTGGGAGTCTTTGTACTGTTGGTAATTTGCTAATGCGACCAATTTCGAGTTACATGCTCTACAGGATACTGATTGACCGAGCTGCGACCTACGGCAATTTTTCCCTTCCTGCCGGCCTGGACAACCTCTTCCAAGGTACTGGACTTGGTGCCAGTCGAAATCCTTACGAGGATATTGACCAGCCTTCCCATTCCCAAACTTTGGGACCCCACACTCCCGACTCGGCCATGCCGCCTCAGCAGCCTTACCAACCCAAGCCGCAAGATCCGCTGAGTTACAACTCTGCTTAGGCTTCATGACAGGAAATTACCCTAGAACACATGGGACATACAAGTCTTTCCCCATTCTTTAAAGTAATATATTGCTGCTTTATTGTTCCATGGGCCGAACCATTCCTTACTAAACCGAAATCACTCGCTGGTAAATTCGAATGCTTGAACATGTTTATACCGGCTTTAGAGATTAGATTAGTGATACTCTGCCTGGGTGTTCATTCTCCATCGAGCTGTGGAATGTACGATTTATTTTTTTCAGATATTACTGGTGTTACTTTTCTATTACATTAGTTGAATGGAATTGTTTCAAAATTAAGATAGTCAAATCAGGTCGTATCTTACTTTGTATCAAACTTTGACCGATTCTATTGTAATCTTAAAGCCGAAGTCTCTACGTTGCAGTCTTATGTAATCAAGATCTTGTATTCTCGTTTAAAGTTTTCTAGCGATATGTCGTGCAGTATATTGATAGCTAAGTTTTCGTAATTGTTCTCTACTTTTTGGTCTACTTTGTAGAAGTTGGTGGCTGTAGTATATTCTGCACAAACGTGCGTTAAAGTTTTAAGAATTTTTCTCATTGCTGATGGCCTGCAATCTCGCTAAATATTGGAATATTTTATTGAGTGAATTAAGCAATGGTTGCAGGTTTTATGTTGTGTTTATTGTTACTATTCCTGAACATATTTAAAAACGTAAGCCAATATCTTTGTTCTCTATCTCGATCTCTTGTTAGATCAGCCCAATTTTGTGATATCTCAATGCCGTTATACATTCCAGTATATTATCTCCTTGGGTGTTTTCAGTGATATTTAAATTTTCAATAATCATAATTTTCTGTGGGCGTAATAATAGAATCTCTGTTTTGCAAGTGCTTAATGCATGATCTCGTGCATCAGCTAAATTTTTACTCATGATAGACTTTTATATTGTAGTTGCAGTCAAGAAATTTATTGTCGATTATACAATATATATTTCACGACATCAGGCGTACCTGATCAATGGTTGTACTGATGGTCTCAATCGCGCCATATCTGAAAAGTATAGATTACGTTTGTAATGAGTTTTTTAGCTCACTTTTGAATTATTTTATGATTAAAATGTAATAATTACTCTTTTTCTAGTCGCAGGCGTCGCACTCGATGTTGGTGCTCAACATTCCTGCTTGTAGGTGCGCCATCTTGCTTTGCTCAGTGTTCTTATTAGTTAGCTATTATATTTGTAGTCTCGTATTGCTTGCCAAGGTCTTCTTGTAAGCTAACGTGTGCTTTTTGAGCTTAGTTATCTCGAGTTTGTTTTAGGTAATTTGCTTTAAGCAAAACACACGTTTGTATAGCAAATCTCCATGACATTGTTTGCCGTCCGTTTGGGTTGGAAAGTGCCATTTAAAATGGGTTGGTTCATCAAGCTAGTCACCTTGATAGGTGATTCGCATTTTATCTTGTATTTTGCTTAGTTTTAATACCTCAACGATGTCAAGCTGCTGTGTTTGAGCTTCTTTTGGCGATTCGATGGTTCTGATTAAAGTCAACTAGTAGCCGTTGATACTAGGTAATTTTTCTATTGTATTTTCATGTGTTGTCATTATTCTGCGTGTTCATCATAAATGTATTTGCATAATGAAGGTAAGAGCCGAGCTCATTGTTGAGGGAGCTAGAGTCTCTGACCAGCTAGTTTCTTTACGTAAATCATAACTGCCTTGTACCAAATTAAAATTGAATTGAACTCGAGTGCGTTCTAATTGAGATACGTTCTTCAGTAGCTACTGGCCGAATGGAAAGAAGGAATGGTCTAGAAAATAGTTTGCGGTGACGTACATTCCGTTTATTTATTGCATGAATAGTCAACAAGCGAACAGTAAAAAAATATTTCGTAACAACACGTGCACTATGTTTTACATGCTCGATTTTGGAAATAAAGCAAAAGTGACCAAGGAGAATTTCATCGGGTTAGATGTAATATTTTTCTTTCACGTCCATTTGTATACATTTATTGTCCTACTAATAACGCGTTGTTTCCCATTAAACCCTGTCTCATTGAAGATGAAATGCATAGAAATGCCTTACTAGTCATCTTATTCTTCATCCTCAAAAAACCAATTGTGGATACGAGTAAATCCATTCGCTGCATCAAAGTCCCCTCGTTCAAAAAATGAATATTCAGTGGAGCTGCAGCGTCATAGGTGTATGTATGCCGATGGCTGGACTATAAATCATGTCTTATTACCAAGTCAGAATTGAAGAGGCTCAAAATTGCAGGGCGAAACTTGAGAAGTGCATTTGCAAAGCTTACGACGTTAGAAGAGATTTTAGAGACGTGAGCATCGAAGGCAAGTTGCTGAAGAGAACGGCAGCTGAGCTCGCATTACATTCATGTACATTCTCAAGAGAAGCTCATGCGTTCATCTCATCTCCTACTGTGCTTTTAAAACTACGAATTTATAAATGCGCCTAAGTTGTTTATCTCAGAAAATGTCTAATTATGAGGGAGTTCATACAGAAATACTATCTCACTATAAAGAGAACCAGCTGAACAACGTTACGCTAAAACACGGTTAATTTTTATTAGCTATTAAATTAGTAATTATATCCTTCGGAATTTGTGTCTTCATTGTTGGAATACGGAAAAAGGTGAACATTTTAGTGTTAATTTAAGATGCACGTGATGAAAACTTAAGTCGCTGGTACTTCGAATCTCTTTGTAATAGTTTGTATCGTATCTAATATATTGAAGGTTGCTTGTCCGTAAAAGAATAATAATTTGCACGAGTATAATAGAAAGTCACCTCTGAACACCGGATGACGTTTCACTTAACCTTTAAAAGGAGCTCGGCTTAACTGCGAACACATTGGATATTCCTTAGGAAGAAATTTGTCGTGAAGCTCTACCGGCCGCCTAGCTACTTGCTTAAAACTAGTCTAGAAAGATTGAGATAGAGATGAAAAATAGAGAAAAGATGGATTGCAGCTCGCGTCAATATACCGTATATAGTATCGATATAGATATAAATTAAAAATATTGTACAATAGGTAGTATTAATATTCACTGACCACTCTTAATTATCCCTATTGATAAAAGATAATAAATAGTGTGAAAATTTAAATGCTCTTTGATATTCAAGTATAGATAGACACATCCGCGTTGAATACTAGCTAGCTGGCGACAAGATGTAGTAGAAAGTCACGCACCATGAGTTTGTTGCTAGAGGCATGATGTATAACATTGAAAAATGGCATATGTGAATGAATTTAAGATAGGGAAAGACGCCACGGACATTTCTGAGGCGCCTTCATGTCGCTTGTAGAGCCGACTCAATCAACAATGTTGACAGTTGTATGTTCTAAATTGAATTTCAATAACCACTGAACAAGAGGAATTTCGTGAGAAGTTAGGTCACAATAAAGTTTGTGACCAATGTCACAAATTGTTACTCTAGTTAGTTTTTTCGATAATTCATAACAATATGATGATTAAGATACTATTGAATCGACAATAAAAATCCACTCATAGCGTTTTTTTATGAATACTTATTAATAACGACTCGAGCTCGACCAAATCCTGTGTGTTCAACATTACGTCAACAAATAGAAGCTTTAGCTCCATAAGGAAACGCAAGCATATGCGGGACTTAAGTATTATTAAATATAATAATAATCAACAAGAAATGGGTCTAGAAAGTTAGATAAAGACTCTTATTGACATTGAGAAGTACAATTCCATAATAAAAAACTCAGTCGTCCAATGCTCACCGATTTTAACACAACACAGACATCAGTAAGCAAGACTGTTTCACACAACATCAATATCACAAACAAATTGTCATTCGCAGCACTCAAATCATAGGACCTTTAGGTTCAAATCAATTCCGTAACTTGAAACACTTCTCAGTGAAAATTTACAGACGCGGCAGGTTCTGATTTGGATTACCAGAAGCTGGGGCGACTCTAAATTTTGTTAGGGTAAGTAAAGGGGGCGCAATTGCCTTTTGCTTAAGCGAATAAGAGAAAGAGGACGGACTTTTTATTCTCGGAGCGAGGGAAGATATACACACAAAATTACTTACAAAATCAGATGTCAGCAGAAAAATTAGTGCATGGGTATTAGGCGGCCGAGTATGTAGTATGGCACGTTTGTATGGAGTCTGCTTGTGACGATCAAAGTCTTGCGTCTCAAAGGAAATTAAATTACGCCTTTTGAAACGCACCGACATACGAACAATGTGGTAATTCAATCTTTCATAATAAACAACATATTCGATTTTAAATCGCTTCAAGCTCAAGTTTGAAGACTTGCGCACCCAAAGCATTAAACAGCGCTCGCGACTTCAAGTACCTATCCCCTTTAATTTTACGAAACTGATAACCGCAAGCAAAGCAAATCAATTGTAAAATCTCATGATCTTCAAAGGCATAAAGATGTTATGCTAAGAAAACTCTTTGAACTTCCACTCTTAACACTATCAAATTGATGATTTGTATGTCAGTAATGTACGTATTATCACTCCACATGTAGAGTGTCTCTCCTTGATTAACATGCACAATAATCAGTGCACGCGTCGCGTTCTTAATTAATTGTAATAGAAGATAAAATATGGTAACGCGAACAAGCTAGACCGGGTCTATGTACATTCTTAAAAAATGTTCTCCGTTAAATATAATGAAACAAATTACACAATATCTTTTTAAAAAAGCTATTTTTCCTATTTAAAACGACAAACAATGCTATTTTGATTCCTATTTAGCTACAACAATAAGAAGGCAACAAATGATTCAGTTTGACGACCGACATCTGTAAAAACATACGCATTCATAAAAGCGTTTATCAATGTAGGTAGGTAAATGTTATAGAATCAGCTTATAGACCAGAGGAACCATAAGAAATTGTTAAACTTAATATATGACGAAAACTTTTTTTTAAGTTTCTAGTTGGAGGGGAACGCTCAGCCTCGACACGCAGTAGCTATAATACTCAGTCTCTGAGCTAAGAAGTCGCAAACCACACCCGATCGCCGTAAACCAGAAGCTATACTATCAGGATTTCCCGAACCACACGTATCGTACTAAGTACGCGTAGCCACCGATTTCTCATCTGTGATCGTCGGGTTTAGCTTGAAAAGCCAGCATTGATTGGAGGACGGCGTTACGAACTCTTAAAAACTGTTGATAGTACGCCCCCAGACTAGTTAAAGTTAAGTGACATGCGTAAAGCAGGTCAGTTAGTACGGTCCCAGACTAGTTCCGCATGACATGCTTTACGCCACACTTCAGAGAAATGAACCTCACGCGTCCCTACTTTCTCATTCCCATCACCCACTACTTGCACCGATTGACTGGAATATTGAATTTGGTAAATGCTATAATTCTAGTAAGGGAAATTGGATAATTGAGGAAGTAGGGCCGTGATGAGGTTCGTAATAGGTGAAGAGGGAGACATGTTTTAAGCAAAAGCTTTGGACTTCAATCCTGTGGCTTATACAACATTATTGCATAAACTCATATGCCCGCCAGCATGTCAGCTCAAGGAAAAGAATACGAATCAGCTATGAAGTTGGGCATATTTGGCTTCCAACTTGTCAATCACAGAGAGAACACATAAACTAAGCAAAGGTGAATGCTCTCAAAGGCTTTCTAAGAAGAGATCTGAGCTTCCAAACATTTTAAACTGATTTTTTTCATGAAATTCGAATAAGAACCCACATTGACAAAAAAAGTTAGAACACACACATTTCATTTAATAATTCTCGGTCAGTTCATTACTATTCCATGAAATTCTACGATTCTCAGCCTTAAAGTCAAGCAAATGTGAAAGAACTGGAAAGCGAACTTATTTGGTTGTAAAGCTGTGCGTTTTCGATATACAATTGGATAACCGAAACTGAGGTCAACATTAAGCTTGCTACTTGAATGTGGCTAGAGAAAAGTTGACGAGATTAACTATTGGCTACACGAGGATTCGGAGCATCGGAAGAGCGGAAAAGAGACAAAGATTTAAATCGAGTCTGTCATAAAGAAGAGACTGAAAGTCAAGAAGTTGATACTATCAAAAAGAGAGAGAATTTGCTAAGACTACTCCGAAAAACTTAGCGCTATGGGCTGACGACGCCCGACAGGACGGGGAAGCGCGACTACCTACAAGGAGCTGTGAAAGACTTATTGACTTAGACATGATAATTAGGAGGATTATTGTAGCACACATTTTTAAAAGCCATCGTTGCTCCCGGGCTACCGAGAATAGAGAAACACTTACTACGATTTCAATGCATAGCTCTAGATTTACTAATGAATGAGCGGAGACTTATCTGCATCGTGACTAGTCCATGCATCTACAAAGATCCTAAAAAACACTTTCAAGTAAGAAGAGTGTAACGAAATAACTTCGACTTGAGGAACTCAGTTAAGTTCATTATAGCAAATGAGCTTTGAACTAAAAATTAAATACTGACAGAGTCATTAATACTTGGGGAAAACTGCTTAAATAAACGAATAGTAACCGATGAGAACGTTGAAGAAATCTCACAAATAAAATAAAGCATTTAGACCCTTCAATGAATAATTTATTTGAACTATTGACTAGGTATCCAATAATCAAAACAGGGCTTTTGCCCTGTTTCCGTACAGTGAAGTTTTTGTCCTAATCCGTACAGTGAAGAGAGGGCCGTTGGTAAGCTATTCGATTTGATTCAAAATAATCGATTCCATTTGATTTAAAATATAAATTTGACCCTCGATAAACTTTGATGGTTTTTATCTAATCCTAGGAGCTAGATGTCGTCCTCAACACAACTAGAAATATAGAGCGAGTAACTAAATAATTAGGTAGCTGAGAGGTGTACATTTTTTCAAAAAAGTTATTTAGGTAACATAATCAATAAAACAAGATAGAAAAATATTAACTACAGAAATGTAGACACTTCAAGTGTCAGCCCTCCACAACAATGTCCGAAACTGGAGAAACACTTTGTCGCGGGGAATAATTCTCTCGCAAACGATGTTCCGTCTTCTATCTCTGTTTCTGTCCATCTGAAGATGACCAAAAAATGCTGATAACAGAAGACGCTCATAATCACTGCCACAAGCACGTGACACTTCACGGTTCAAATGGACGATTATTGAATTTTCGGGATACGGTAAGGCAGCACTGATCAATAAAATCATCTTCGCTTGGATTATGCCGTACTGGAGTCGGTACAGAGGTTTTAAGGATGATCTAGTGCATTGAGAGTCAATTACAGATTTTGGACGAGAGACACAATTTATAGACAGATGATTGTCAAAGGGTTCGATCACAAGCTCCTTCACAGGTTGAAAATCTTCAGAAGATGTTTTGCGTCTCTTGACATCGACCTGGTCAGTCACCTCTAACGCGCGCTTAAATTGACGAATCACGACTGCAAAAAAAGGAACATTGCGTAAGTAATAAATTCTATATCTATTCTAGAAGCAGAAACAGAGTGCACTATTAGGTATTTTTAGACTTTGCAACAAACAGCATTACAAACAAACAATGCTGTTTGTTTGAAACAAACAGCATTGCAGCAAACGGCATTTTATTTTTATTTTTTTTTGCAACAAACAGCATTAAGTGCGAAACCCTCTTTTTTAGTAGATACTTTAAACTGGACACAAGCCTTTTTAGATATGCAACAAGTACGAAACCCTCTTTTTTCAGCAAAAAATTCAACTGGACAGGTTTTTAGATATGTAACAAACAGCATAAAGTGCGAAACCTCTTTTTTTTTAGCTAATAATTTAAACTGGACAGGAGTCTTTTTAGATATGCAACAAGTGCAAAACCTTTTTTTTTCAGCAAATAATTTCAACTGGGCAGCAATCGCGAACTCACGTGAGGCTCTGGTGGGCTGGAGTCGATGACAAGTTGCCGCGTTCGACTGGGGTTTGGGGGCGGCAGCGCTCCGATGAGTGGACCACCCGTTGTCCCGGGGGAGCCGACCGAGGAGGGGCAGAGAAGGGTGGTAGGCTGTCTGGAGCCGACATTTGGAACTGTGCTGCTTGACGTTCTTTCTGTAATCTGGAGTGTCAACGAGCAACGTCAATGCAATGTGGCGAGCGAGCTACGTACGCAACAGACGGTAAAGGTGCGCGCGTGTACATTGCAGGGGCAACTCAAGACAATTCGAAAGACAATAAATGTTTATTTACATAATATTAGCAATTCTACAAGTAACTGGGGGCAGTTAACGTTGTGATGATAATCGTATAGTTTTGAAACGATGAATAGGTTGTCATCTCCGCGAACAAAACATTCATGTTTCGTGAACAAATAAATAAAGGCACAAAATGGGCATCTGGATGGTGAGGTATTATAAGATTTTTTTTTAGTGACCAGAATAATTTTGGATTAATTGAGCATGAGAAATTCTGATCGAACTACTGCCGAGTGAGGATAGTAACAAATTTAAGATAACGAATTAGATTGAGTGAACTTGTCGTCAAGAATTTTAGATAACGAATTAGATTGAGTGAACTTGTCGTCGAGAATTTTAGATAACGAATTAGATTGAGTGAACTAGTCGTCGAGAATTTTAGATAACGAATTAGATTGAGTGAACTAGTCGTCGAGAATTTTAGATAACGAATTAGATTGAGTAAACTAGTCGTCGAGAATTTTAGATAACGAATTAGATTCGAGAGTTTTGGGTTGCCCGCGCGACAAAAAACAGTCGGTACAGAGCGGGGAGCGAAGGGCAGGCACAAAACTTCGCAGAGACAATCATTGCAAAAATTCCAAAATGAAATGTTTCAATTGGTTAACTGAAAATTCTTCGTAAAATTGAACTGAAACTTTCCGGTAAAAGCAAAACGATAATTTCCCGTGAAAATTAAAGATACATATTTTGCACTGAATGTGCTGAAAGAAGACTTCAAAAATAACGAAATTCTTAGTGAAGGTTAAATTTTACTTTAATGAACGGTAAGCAACAAGGATAAATTAAGTGACATTGTCTCGACGAAGTATATAACATCCAAGACAGCAAACATTAGGGCTACACTAGGCAGTCACGTAATGAGACAGACTCTTAAGAACAGGGCTACACCACCGAGCATTCTTACATAAATCAGCTAAGTCGGCGAGACTTCCGTACCACACGTATGATATTCAAATAAAACCAAGCTCTTTTCTTCACAATGTAGTGAGGAAAAAAACATCCAGCCCTCAACTTTGTAGGCAAAAGGCAAGGTCTTTTCTTCACAATGTAGTGAGAAAAAAAAAACAAACAGCCGTCCATTTGTATAAAATTTTTGACGTTTGGAATTATTTTTGAAAAGGCTAGTTGATAAGTTTTATTTTTTAACTAACCTATTGGAAAGGTTAGTTATGGAAGTATAATACGGAATTCATAGTGCCGAGGGCATGACAAGCTAATTCTTGATATAGACCCTAACACTTCATTCAGTTGTGCTACAGGCTCAGAGTGACATATAAGTCTACTGAGCGCGAAAGGAGCTACCTCGATAATTGGGAAAACTGGTGCTTAGAAGAGTAAGATACCATAGCGTAAATGAAATGAGGTTTACTATCACCATGATTATGAGGCTCAGCTTTCTTATTGCATGGGAGAACTATTGTCTTATTGATATGGAATGTGCAATAGTTGGTGTACGAGGGTGTAATAGATACGACAATGGGATATGAATTTGAACTTATTTTTAAGCTAATGTAAAGAACAGGGTGGGAAATAATTTTGATTTTATATAACAATCAGCGAATATTTACCAAAAATAAATTTAATGTCCAAGCAAAAGGTTGGAATTTATAAAACAAAACCTAACCACTGTACTGAAGGTGTTGAAGTGAACCATTTTCAGTGAGTGAAAATAAACGAGTATAGACAATAATGATGCAAAGGGAGTACGTACATCAAAATAATTAAGTAATAATGTGTGTGAAGCTGCTTACTTGCGACACTACATCGTCACAATACATCGACAAAATAAATCAACGTAAACAGGATATATCGGACCAAGGCGACACGGCTAGCTATGGAGTGAGTTAAGATTTGCGTGTGTAACGCAGAACCTGGCCGTTACAACTCACCGATTTCTCCGTCAGAATCTCCCAAATGCTGCTAGTGGAAAGAAGATAAAACGAGTAAATATTGATTGACAGGTGATTGCTGCACGGAACCACGTACAACAACCACGGACACGAACTTCTAATCTACGAGCTGCACGACGTACGACCACCAACTGCACTGTACAAGCACGTCTTTTAAGCGCCGTTCTTTAAATGAGCGCTCAACATGCATGCAGTTTGTACCAAGCCAGGCTAGTTTTTGTACTAGAAATAGTGCACAATTTATAGTATAACTATGTGACAGTAAAGCACGCCAAGAGTTACACGACGTACGATCACCAACTGCACTGTACAAGCACGTCTTTCAGCGATGTTCTCTAAATGAGCGCTCAACATGCATGCAGTATGTACCAAGCCAGGATTGTTTTTGTACTAGAAATAGTGCACAATTTATAGTATGACTATGTGACAGTAAAGCAAAGAGTTACATGATGTACGACCACCAACTGCACTGTACGACACGCACGTCTTTCAAGCGCCGTTCTCTAAATGCATGCAGTTTGTACCAAGCCAGGCTAGTTTTGTACTAGGAATAGTGCACAATTTATAGTATGACTATGTGACAGTAAAGCAAAGAGTTGCACGACGTACGACCACCAACTGCACCCTTAAATGAGCGCTCAACAGGCATGGAGTTTGTATCAAGCCAGGATAGTTTTTACATGGTTGAACTATATAAGGTTGATCCACGAGGATTTCCGTCTTTCAGTTCAGCTTTCTGGTGAAGTCAGTGAGTACGAGAAACGTAAACAATCCCGTCATTCCCATGACGGATTGGTTGACTGGTTTGATCGCATTTCGGCGATGGGTTAATGCCCGTGACGTCACTAAGATCAGTGACGTCACAGGCGAAAAACAAACAACATCCGCAAAAATGAGCTGCTCATGGGTCAACCTTATACTAATTCAACCATGAGTTTTTGTTCTAGAAATAGTGCACAATTACTAGTATGACTACGTGACAGTAAAGCAATGCTTCATGTCACTCAGGTGCCGTCATGCATGGGAAAGTTTCTTCTTTCGTGGGGGGATCTGTGAAGAGCCATAATTTTGGCCTAAGTAAGCAGGTTGAATTTTTATTTTGGTTGAAGGTAAGCGAATAATACTTTATAACTGATAGGATCAGAGTAGTGCGCAAAGCGTTGGACATGGTTTCAATGAGGTTGCTGGAGAAAACAATCTAGAATTAGTATCTTGAAACAATCTACATTTGTGTATGCATATCTACGGCAGCGAAAACCCTTTCGGGGCTTAACCGTAGGGCTCTTATTTAAAGTTCTTTGATATATAATAAAAATTTAAACTTAACATAAATAAACTTAAACTTAACAGACAAGAATTCCAAGAAATGAAAAATGAAATGAGTTGCAAAAAGTGCAGGCTTTTAATGAAATTTATCGTCACAGGTGACAGCATTCGTGGCGATCATAACTACAAGCGGCGCTGATGGAAATGGCGTCTGCGGATAATAAGGCAAGAAAAATGGTGACATTTTGAGGCAGAGTTAGGCTAATTTACAAGCATGCAAACGGGACAGAAAAGTGGATGAGGTAAACGTAACGACGTCTATAAACGATTATATAACGGGTTAATTATAATCACAATTAAATAATAATATCACACATGTGATATTACAATACACATGTGATATTATGACAATGATATTATGACTGTGACTCGATGACAATACGTCGATTATAAGTCAATTAGATAAATGCTACATATTAACAAATTTTAATACACGATCATGAATAGAAGGCTTGGCATATGAAAAAGAACTCCGGTATGTTTGGAGGTGTGCGCTTATGAGATATTGAAAGTAAGATGTGAAGTATATTGCATCGAGTTCTACACTCACAAATTTATTCAAACAAATATTTGCTTGGTTAGTAAGAGAAACATGTTCCGCTGATTGTTAAAAGTATTTAATGAACAGAAGATAAGATAAGGGGAGCGTCTGGCCAAAAATTTCGGATTTTGGCTTCTCCGGCTTTTAGTGTTCAATAGCCGCAAAACAAGACAGTCAGGATTCGGCTTCAAATATGAGCAAAACTTTTATTGTGTTACTCATGAAACATCATTAAAAAGGCTAAATTATAAACAACTTTATCGTTAATTTGGCGTCAAATATGAGCAAAACTTTTATAGTGTTACTCTTGATACATCATTAAAAAGTCTAAATTATGAACAACTTTATTATTAACTAACGTAAAATATATTATTGAACGATGAGGGAACAAGTAAGCAAAGGAAGTCGCTTACTTCTGCTTTGTCTGCCGCATGAACTGCTGGATCTTGCGGGCAGCTTGATGCTGGCGTCGCTGCGAGTACGATCGCCTGCAAATATACAGTAAATTATAGCGCGGTATTTCCAATGATTGTCACATGACTAATATAAGCTAAAACCAACTAAAACATCACCCGATTACCAACTAAAATATCACCCAATATAGACATCTGAATGAAACAAACTCAAACAATAGCACGTTTTTCCATAAATGAGAAAATGCGCTAAAAACAACAACTAAATCTCTGGAACATCATCCAATATAGACATCTGCATGGAACAAACTAATAAAACAACAACTAAATCACTGGAACGTCACCCAATATAGCTAGTTATCTGAATGAAATGAGTTCAAAAACAACAACTAAATCACTCATCACCAAATAGTTATCTAAATGAAACAAACTGAAAAACAACAACTAAATAACTGGAACATCACCCAATATATACATGTATAGAGCATTTACACCAAGGGCGAAACACGATACGAATCAGAGTCAAGACACGGTATTTAACATTACCTTAAATGAAGAGATATTTGATATTTGAATATTTTTATTAGATAGATAATATTAGATATTTGATATTGATATTCTGAATATTTTATTGGTAACTCACTTGAGGTTCGGTATGGGTGTAGACTCACGCGAGCCTCTCATCGGGAAGGAGTGTGTCCCGGCAGACTCGAGGCCTTTCTTGAAGCGCTTGTGTTTACAGAACGCCCGGAACTGGGTTTGTATGAGCGTCGCGGCCCGACTCATTTGCGTGAAGTAAACGTACTGAAAAAATGGAATAAAGTGAAATTTTAGGACTAACAAGCACTAAAATGAAAGTTTAGGTTAAACAAGAACTAAAATGAAAGTTTAGGACAAACAAGCACTATAATGAAAGTTTAGGACAAACAAGCACTAAAATAAAAGTTTAGGATAAACAAGCACTACAATAATCGTGTTTAGAAGTGGTGGGAAGAACAGGGACAGAAGAACGAACACAACATATGACAGGTGCAGTAGAGAGACGAAAGGAACAATCAGAGCTGCGAAAAAGGAAGTAAATCGCTAAAAAGATTTAAAATTAAGTAAAATTCTAGAAACTTCGAAAAAATCTAACCAAAAGAAGTACTGGCGTTCGATTTATTTAAGCAAAATCGAGTCTGAGTTATTTCGTTTCATGAAACATGGTCGTCTAACGTAGACGTGTTTTGATCACTTCATCGTGAACGTAGTCGCTTAAATTGACTATATATTTCCAATATTATTATTATTATTCTACGAAGCATTTATCGTGGCGTCTGGTTCAAACGAACTTCGAGGCCACGTCACACTTAAGGGGAGCGTCTCCCGAAAAATCGAAAATTTTCACTTTTTGGGTTTTTACACTCATTTTAAAGCTTAGAAAATTACGCTTCTAACGAGACTAAACTTGTCTCTCTACGTCGTCTGGTTCTCGTACACCAGCCAACAGAAGCAAGCCGGTACCGCAAGCTCAGTGCATCGACAGCGGTCGTGAGAGAAGTAGTTAGAAATTCAAAAAACCAATACATCATTTTGTATATGTGGTCTTTACGCATCGAATGATATGTGTCTCGATGTTGTAGCTTGAAAATCCTAGGAGGAGATAGGTTTTCTAAAGTACCCCTTTTTTTCGTTTTCTAAGAATTTCACGTTTTCTTTCAATTTTTTTCGAAAAAATCACATGAACCAAAAATGTCTTAGAATTCTGTTTTACATATGTGTACCAAATTTCAGATCGATCCCTCTGTAAATTACTGAGATAAATTTTTAGGGAGACGCTCCCCTTAAGATTAATAGCAAGCGAAAAAATAGACACAAGAAGGGATGGGAACGGACAAAATGACTAAGCACTAGATTCATATGCTCTACGAAATAGTTCCGTCCAGTGCACAATGAGTTCTGAACGTGGACTCGCAGAGGCCTCCAAACTTTTTCAACCAAGGGCCAAGAGCAAGCTTTTTGAAACCTTCGACCATTTACAGTTTTCAGTTCATACGTAACCAGAAATAAACGCCACGCTCGATTTTTGTACACATTATGCAGTTTATGCTGAACTACGAGATATCCTCGACGGGCCGGATGGAACCTAACCACGGGCCAGATCCGGCCCGAGGGACATAGTTTGGAGACCTCTGCCGCATTAGGGTACGCACACAGTGAAAGCAGGTTGCCAGCGTGCTGGTTACCTGCTCAGGCTGGCGCCAGAAACCATAGAATACAGAAGCCTATTCGTACAGGTTTTCACTGTGAACACTTAACATTATTATCCTATGTTCATTATTGTGGCAGTTTGCCCGCGGGGGCAAACCTGCTTTCACTGTGTGCGTACCCTTAGAGCAAGCGTACTTGTTTGTATCTGCGGTAGTAGTTCTGGATGAGCACGGCTGCCTGACGTTCCTTGTCTTGCTCAGCTTGTTGTTTCTTGCGGCCTTTGTACTGGCGGTAGGCGGTCTGGATGATCTTAGCAGCCTCGTACAGCTCCCGCTGCTCTTGATCTGTTATATACAATAATCGTAATCGAACAAGTCCAGTCAAAGATGTTCTTCAAAGCCATAAGGGGCAACGTCAATAAACATTTTTATACACCGTGAAAAAAAGTTGAATTCCCGAGATAATGTACAAAAAATCCCGCAGTACTTTATATTAGTAATGAAAACATTTTCTACATGATATCCCAATTAATATTCCGATTTTTATAGCTTCAGTTCTACCACTAAAGATTTGAGCTCCGATTGCATTACACGTACGCTAGCATCTATATGATTTCGCGTGATCTGTCACAAAAATTATCAGAATCTTCGTTTATTCATTCGGTTCCGGTTTACCATCAATTTAAATTACAGAGTTCGAGAAAATTAGCCACCTGATGTGATAACAAACGAGTGAAGAGAATCGCTAAATTTACTGTGCATTATGAATTTTAAAAAATTGTGTACGTCGCACTTTGTACTATATTCCCTAATTTATAACATTTTCACAATTAAACCTATAAAGTAAAGACATGTTAGAGCGTAATGTCAGTTTCTCTTTCTTCTAGTTAAACTATGTCACCGAGAACTCTTCTGATAAATAGACTATTATTTGGTAGACTTCCGAGTCGACCAAATAGATAAATTCATTTTCTTGTGAGGTGCTGTCTAAGTAAACGGCCAAGATACTATTGAATCGATAATACATTTATCGACAACAATTATTAAAATAACATATCAAAATCCAAATAAAAGCATCATTTAACACCAAATAGAATATAATTTAACACCCATTCGCGGACGAGCAGCATCAAAATCTCGGCACGTGTCAAGTAAGTTTATTGGATTCTCACCGGAAAACGTGAGGTTAGAGAATCGGTCACCGAGGACTCTTCTGATAATTAGACTATTATTTTGGTTGACTACTGTGTCGACCAAATCATCGATAAATTCATTTTCTTTTAATGTGCTGCGGGACGAGCAGCATCAAAATCTCGGCACGTGTCAAGTAAATTTATTTAAGGCTCACCGGAAAGCGTGAGGTTAGAGAAGTCAGTGGAGACGTCTCTGGTGGAGGCGTGGAAGAACTCGGAGAAGTCCGCAGTGGTGGGGGAAGAGTCGAGAGCGAAAGACGAAGAAGGTACGGGAGAGGGAGACGGTAAACAGAACGAGGAAGAAGAGGGGGCGGGTGATGGAGAAGGAAGGCAGCACGATGATGCAGGACTTAGAGAGGAGCACGGTGTGCCAGCGTCCATTAGCCTGCGCAAACATGAAGGGTGCGCTGAACATTAGTTAATCAATTTATTTTAAAAGGAGTAATACTGAATGAAGAACCCACACTGGGCAGTGAAAACATCGGGATAGTCATTTCGTACTATATTTATTCCTACATTCATGAAGTGACAGCTTCTTTAATGTTAAGAAATACTGCTGAGCGTAATACTGAAACTGTTCTGAATGAAATGACTAATTGGAAAAGTGGTAAGGTAACACACAGTGGTAAGTAAAAGAATCGGTGACAGGCCTATCCAGGCCTATTCTTCATGCCGCAGATACTTTACTATACTATACACCAAATTAGCTACTTGCATAGCTACAGTCATTGAACAACAGTTCAAACTCGGGACTAAAGTGTTTGCGCTACTTTTAATTAAGTTTAAATTAGCTACTTGCGTAGCTACAGTCAGTCATCTACAGCTCAAATTCGGGACCAAAGTGTTTAATAGGCCCATTAAAGTGTGGAGACCTCATACGACACATTACCTGTAAGTGAACATGTCAGGTCCAGGGTCGTTAAGACCTTCCCCAAGCCCTCCTCCAGCAGCACCGCGGCCAGACTCATCAGCCAGCATCACGACCTCCATCCCCAGGTCCTCTGCCTCCCCACACTCCCCCATCACATTAGAGGGACTGCGCTGCAGCTCCATCAGCTCTTCCCCGTCGATCTGGAGCACAGACTGGAGCTAGTCTCACGAGTCTCAATAATTATGTATAATAATAATATAATGTTATGTTAATACAATGTATGTATGTTACTAATTATGTATAATAATAATATAATGTTATGTTAATATAATGCATGCATGTTAATAATTATGTTAATAATAATGTAGCTAGTCTCACGATGCACATGTTGATAATTATGTATAATAATAATATAATGTTATTTAGTATAATGCATGTATGTTAATAATTATGTTAATAATAATGTAGCTAGTCTCATGATGCGAACGTTAATAATTATGTATAGTAATAATAATATAATGTTATGTAAATATAATGTATGTATGTAAATAATTATGTATAATAATATAATGTTATGTCAATATAATGTATGTATGTTAATAATTATCTTAATAATAATGTAGCTAGTCTCACGAATCAAATGGTTAATAATTTTAACAATTAACTTGTATATTTTCTTCATTTAGCTAAAGTACGGCTTTCACTTGTTGAACGCACATATACGCCCCGTTCCCAGTGGCCAAAAATGAAGAACATCGAAATAGTCGGACTCGGCCGACATTCTTCAGCCGATTTATCTCAATAACAATCATTTTATATTTTAACAAAAGTAAAGTTTCAAAAATGTTATCTCAATAATAATCATTTTATATTTTAACAAAAGTAAAGTTTCAAAAATTTTATATCAATAACAAATGACAGTCATAAACATCGAGGAACAAAGCTTCAGACGCATTTCTTCAACTAAAAAAACATTCAAAAGCTAATAATTGCAACGCATTTCAAATAGTAAGAAGTACTAATTGAAACTGAATAATAATTAGCTCATCGTTAGCCTCAATTGAATCATGTCTAATAAAATATATATTGAACTTTTGCGTATTATTCAGATTTATTCTACCCTAAAATTTCCGATGTAATGAGAGGAGAACTTATGTAATTCAATTCAACTTATCTTTGCTAAAAGTATCATAGAAGCGTCTGGCGCTAAGTTATCTCTTGTGAAAAATATTAAAATAAGCCCAAGTACACTTCAAGAGAAATAATTGAAAATAAAAGTGTGAATAAGTATAATATAAATAATTCTGAATAATCGAAATGAATAATGAATTAGTATACCTTTATTCTCTTAGGCAGCGCCGCGGCAATGATGGTTATAATTATGGATAACTATACTATAATTAATATAACAATATAATTAATTTAATATAGTAATTAATTTTAAATTAAGTAATTCAGAATAATCGAAGTGAATAATGAATTAGCATACCTTTATTCTCTCCGGCAGCGCGGCAATGATGGTTATTAATTATGGATAAGTACGTTATACTATAATTAATTTAATTTTAAATTAATTAATTCAGAATAATCGAAGTGAATAATGAATTAGCACACCTTTATTCTCTCGGGCAGGGCAGCAATGATGGTCTCAGCAAGCGACAGCACGCGACTGTCGTCGGAGGTGCAGAGCGACGACGCGTCAGCGGTGAGACTGCCTTGTCTGCTGCAGTAGCTGCTGTCTAGTCCTGTAGTGACGAACAATAAGCTTTACAACGATATTTTCTTAGTAAATAAACTCTACTAGCGTTTAATCAGCTCTTTAGTGACAAGCAATAAGCCTTACAATAACATTTTCAGAAATACATTTCATACAATAACGTTTCAGTTTTTCAGAAACTTGAAAAAATGTCGAAACTCTATATAATAAAATTTTCTTTGTAAATCAACTCGTACTAGCGTTTAATAAGCTCTTAAAAGCCTTAAGTGAAATGAATGTTCTTACAATACTTTCATTGTAAATAAACTTCTACTAGCCTTTAATAAGCTTTAACAAGCCTTAAGTGAAATAAATGTTCTTACAATACTTTCATTGTAAATAAACTTCTACTAGCCTTTAATAAGCTTTTACAAGCCTTAATTGAAATGTATGTCCAGGAAAAGAAGATTGTAAATGGTAAATCAACAAGTCTTAGCCTTAATTGAAATAGATTGTACGAAAAATAGCGTAATAGCGTCAAAACAATACGGCTTTTAATGTACACACAATCATCTCCAATTGAAATTCGACTATATGTTCACTAAGGAGATATCCCAAAAATGGCCACCGTATTTCCAGCGCAAAAAACGCGTTACCACTTATTTTAACACGTGAAGAATTTATTAGTGTCTCACGTTGATAATTTCTATCGAATCAAAATGGTTCACAAAAGAAACCTCGGAGTCCACGAAACCCGTTTCCTTTAATCCAAAATGGGCACATGCATGGCAATTAAATCTGATATTTTTTGTCGTTTTTTTGAAAATTGATACCAGGCACATTGGAATAACTGAAAACCATGGTTGAGCTATATAAGGTTGACTCACGAGGATTTCCGTCTTTCGGTTCAGCTTTCTTTTTGCGTCACTGAGATCAAGAAACGCAAACAATCCCGTCATTCCCACGACGGATTGGTCGAGTGATTTGATCGCATTTCGGTGATTGGTTAATACCCGTGACGTCACTGAGATCTGTGACGTCACAGGCGAACAACGAACTTCATCCGCAAAAATGGGCTTCTCATGGGTCAACCTTATACTAGTTCAACCATGACTAAAAACATCCTCTACCTAGACTCCTAGATAGACGCGCAAACAGCATAGACCTACACTATAGTTGCCAATAATAATATTAATTTGACTGTTGTTTGAGAGCTGATGAATGTGTGTAGGTTAAACTTGATGTCGTCGTGGTGAAATTCATTGCCTCTACATCCATTAATTTATTTAACAAAATAGCTGGTAGAAGCGAGTCGATTCAAAGCGAAGTACAGTTGAATCCACTTAATCGGACAGACATCCTCAAGGATCGAAACAAAACAATCCTGTCTTGTTCAATAAGAAGGATCTAATTAAATCATCCAAAGACTAGAATAATTGTGTCCTCGATGTTGTCCGATTGAGTGAAATCAACGTTAATGATGAAGGTGATTCAGAGAAAAAAACTTGCGAAGAGCTTAATCTCAACAATCATGGAGCAGAATAACAAGGCATTCAAGCAGGAACGGAGAGAATATTAAATTTGAACTTACTTACTGATACGGACTCGAGAATTGCCATACTAAAAAGTAGACCTAGAAACACAACAATCACATCCAACACTGTCGTAAATATAATAAACTTAGTAGCGTTAATTTCTGAGTTAAAAATTTCTTAATTTGTTAGTCATCAGTTTTTTTGGGGCAGTTCGCATAAGATTTAAAACAAGATTATTTTAGATTGACATTTAGAGTGTCGATGTCACGATGATGCCAGAATTAAGAAAGATACTTTTCTAAAATTTCAATCTTCTCAAAATTTCAAACGTAATTCATGGCATTCAACAAGAATTGACGGAAATTAAAACGCAGCTGCAAAGTATAACCGGTGTATGGCTGAATTCAAGACATTAAACAAGAATTTACGGGAATTAAAACGTAGTCCCAAGTTATAACCGGTGGATGGCTGAATTCAAGGCATTAAACAAAAATTGGCGGGAATTAACGTAGTCCCAAGGTTTAACCGGTGGATAACCGGCTGAACCGGTGGATGAATAACCGGTGGATGGCTGAATTTATGGCATTAAACAAGAATTGATGGGAATTGAAACGTAGTCCCAAAGTATGTAACCGGTGGATGGCTGAATTCATGGCATTAAACAAGAATTGATGGGTGGATAACCGGCTGAACCGGTGGATGAATAACCGGTGGATGGCTGGACGAGTAATTGTTCACTTTGTTTATCTCACCTCTGTTAGTGGCGGCGCTATCTGTTATCGGCGCTATCGCTATCTCACCTCTGTTAGTAGCGGCGCTATCTTCCTCATCCATAACGCTGTGGGCATCCGCAAGAGCTGGAGGAAGAGCGGCGGCAGCAGCGTGACCAGCAGCAGCTACTGCCAACCAGCACAAGTCTTACTATCTACGCCCCGCACGCACCTCAACCATACATTGGGCAAGCAATCGACTTGTCAACCATGCTATTACTTCAAAAAAATATAACTCAGTACTCACAGCAGTGAGTGACAGAGAGCGCATTTTCTCGTCGACGAAAACGTGAAGTCACGGACAGACAGACAGACGGACGGACAGACAGATCAGTACTCACTGCAGTGAGTGACAGAGAGCGCATTTTCACGTCGACGAAAACGTGAAGTCACGGACGGACGGACGGACAGACAGACAGACGGACAGACAGCTCAGTACTCACTGCAGTGAGTGAAAGAGCGCGCATTTTCTCGTCGACGAAAACGTGAAGTCACGGACGGACAGACAGACAAACGGACAGACAGCTCAGTACTCACTGCAGTGAGTGACAGAGAGCGCATTTTCTCGTCGACGAAAACTTGAAGTCACGGACGGACGGACAGACAAACGGGCAGACAACTCAGTACTCACTGCAGTGAGTGACAGAGAGCGCATTTTCACGTCGACGAAAACGTGAAGTCACGGACGGACAGACAGCTCAGTACTCACTGCAGTGAGTGACTGAGTGCGCATTTTCTCTTTGACGAAAACGTGAGGTCACGGACGGACAGACGGACGGACGGACGGACATGGCGAGCACAATAGCGCCTTTTTTTTCATAAATGAGAAAATGCTCTAAAAACGCAAATAATATATAAAATAAATTGTAATAAATATTAATAACTTCCGTCTTATGCCCGCATATAATCAAAAGTTTTTTTTTTTGTCGATTTTTTAAAGACTTGCCCGATGAAAGGTTGACGCTCGTCTAACAAACACAGTTTCGTATCCTCGACTCATAGCAAAAGCCAGAATAGATCTGAGAACTTGCAGCCACAGACTGATGCATGAAATGACAAGCATATCGCTAAGAAATGCTCGAGCAGAAGCATTCTAAAAAGTCTTGAGCATATCAAAAATGTTTAATAAATAAACACGCTATGGATGAGACTCGCTCAACATTCAACATTCATTATTAAGAATGCGAGCTTGATGAAATAAATTGCGATGACAAGGAAAGATATGAGTCCTAACTTACATGAAAATAACCCTAGATAATCATGAAACTGGGCTGGAATTATGTAAGGTACATTGACATAATCTAATGAGACATCCATAGGAGCCATATAATACGAAAAAGCTTTAACACAGCCAAGCGTGATAAAGCGAGGATTTCCGAAAGCTTAATCAGCAGAGAAAGAAAATAAGACAATGGTATGGAAAAAAATTCAAAAGCATTGAACTGCTTTGACAGCTTAATCAATAGAGAAAGGAAATAAAACACAGGTATGGAAAAATAATTCAAAAGCAATGAACTGCTTTGACAGCTCAATCAATAGAAAAAGAAAATAAGACACAGGTATGGAAAAAATAATTCAATGGCATTGAACTGCTTCAACAGCTTAATCAATAGAGAAAGAAAATAAGGAATAGAAAAAACAATTCAAAAGCATTGAAATGCTTCAAGTGGCAAAATACCGAATAGAAACATTCCAATGACGATTCAATAGTAAAGAATTTTACGATACCTTATCGAGCGGTAATGAATTTACCATGAAATGTAATGCATGCCGTAGACAGAACCCGCATAGTGATAACTGTTGTGGGTCTCGCTAATGTGGTCTTATTTTGAGACTTACTTAGGATCACAATGTGAAAAATGGATCACATGCACGACATTTCACGTACAAATGCAAAAATGAATGAAACTGAAAATTGAACATATTATAGCGGCGTAATGAATAAAATAGCGTCTGGGAGATAATGAAACATGAAGTTACAGTAGGAATAACAGGAATATCATAGTCAGAGAAGATACACGTACAAATGCAAAAATGAATGTAACCGAAAACTGAACATATTATAGCGGCATAATGAGTAAAATGGCGTCTGAGAGGTTAGGAAACATGAAGTCTGAAGTCTGGGAGGTAATGAAACATGAAGTCTGAAGTTAAACATGAAGTCTGAAGTCTGGGAGGTAATGAAACATGAAATCTGAAGTCTGAAAGGTAATGAAACATGAAGTTACAATAGGAACAACAGGAATGTCATCGTGAGAGAAGGTAAGCCCGCACCTGGGAGGAGGTCGAACAGCCCCGGAGACGACAACAGTTCTTCAGCGCGAGCATCTGCGTTCGCACTCGACGCCATGTGACCGCTTGTAAATAAAAAAAATATATATATAAATATAAATGTCAAAAATCCAATATAAATCTAATCCAATATAAAATAAAATATCAAAATCCAAATAAAAAATATATTTTATTTTTACTATTATTATTAATATTATTAAGATGCTAGATACCGTAATCTACGTAGAATAACGAACAACTTTCCAATAACGAAGATAATGTTAGGCTGTGTATGTAGGAATGGGCTGGAATTATACGGGACTGGAATTATATACATTATATTGATAATTTTATTATTAGTTTTTTCAATATACCGAACAATATTTTTCGTTTGCACTGGTAAATCGAAAATCAGGGTACAGATGGACATTTTTATTTCGTTAACGACTTTAATGAAAGCTGCTTAAAAGAACAAATTCTGCCAACCTATACTAATTATATTATTAGCGCATTTTCTCATTTATGGAAAAAATGCACTGTCTGTCCGTCTGCACTGTCTGTCCGTCCATTCGTGACTTCACGTTTTCGTCGACGAGAAAATGCGCTCTCTGTCACTCACTGCAGTGAGTACTGAGTTATATTATAAATATGTTATTTATTACCGGACGTGTTTCTGTAGGCCATCGAGGCCGGAGTCGAGGCTGGCCCTCTTGAAGGGATCTTCATGGGACAGACAGATGCCGGAGTCTACTGAGGGACGCTTGATGAGACGGGGGCGTCTGCCCCCCACACTGGCCAGGGCTCCCCAGTCACCCCCACGCTCGGGGGGCGCCAGGGAGGGCCCCTGGGCGCCATATTGTGGACGGAGGGGGCCGTCCGAAGGGGCATCACCCAAGCTCAAAGGAAGGTCGACGCTCAGATGTCGGAGCTTACGGATGTCGTTCCTGAGAATTTAATTTTTCTTTGATCAATGAGAACATTTAGGAATTATAATTTATTTCAGCAACATTTTCTACTTTACCTAATAATTGCATGATAAATAAAATGTATAAATCAGGCTGAGATGTCGGAGCTTACGGATGTCGTTCCTGAGGATTTAATTTTTTTTAGACCAATGGAAACATATAATTTATTTCAGCAACATTTTCTACTTTACCTAATAATTGCATGATAAATAAAATAGATAAATCAGTTGGCACGGGACAAAATCTCCGAGCCTTGAAACTTGATAAATGGATAATATGCTTTCGGTCAGAGAACCCAAAGAGCAAATCGCAAAATTTCAGCAAAATAAACCCAAAACTTGATAAATGTATAATTTGCTCTCAGTGGTGGATAAATTTGCTTAGCAAAAAGCAAAATTTCAGCAAAATAAACCCAAAAATAAATATTGCAAATTGGCAAGTCCATAAAGCTTACCGGCGGGGCGAGGGTCGCAAGAAGATGAGGTCTTCGCCCCCGCCCACAGGACAGTCCAGACTGTGACTGTGGACGGACTGTGGGTGTCCACAAGGTCCTGTATACCGTCCCTCAGGGTGGACGGGCGGCTGGGCTTGGGAGAACTGCAGGGACGGACGGAAGTGGTCGGTGCTCCCTTGGGGGGCGTTAGGGGCGCCCGTGTGGGACGACAGAGACGCGCCCTGGGACGACAGAGACGGGCCCGTGTGGGACGACAGAGACGCGCCCTGGGACGACAGAGACGCGCCCGTGTGGGACGACAGAGACGCGCCCGTGTGGGACGACAGAGACGTAAGAGACGACTGAGACGACGACTGAGAAGAAGAGCGAGTAAGGGAAGAGATGCAAGGGAAAGATTGATGAGAAGAGCCTGAGAAGAAGAGAGGAGGTGGAGGAGAACAAGGAACGTGAGAGCCAAGCGGTGATAAAGATGAAGTCAAGTGTAGAGAAGGAGAAGGTGAAGAAGGTAGGTGGAGAGAAGCCATATTGTGGAGAGCAGCACCGCCTTCCACCGTGACGGTGGAGGTGCCAGAGTGGAGGGTGATGGTGTTTGGAGAGGAGCATGCAACTGAAGGGAAGAGAGGGGATGAGAGGGGAGGAGGGAAGAGGGTAATAGAGGAAGAGTCTGCCGAACGCTTGCGTGTCTGTTCCAGCTGGGAGAGCTCGTCTGACAAACGCTCGTGTCCTGAGGGAGATACGGAAACATGGGAGTGCTACAAACTATTAATAAACGAGAAGTAAATTATTCAGAAATTAAAGCTGATATAAATAAAACTTGCAATAAAAATGTCATCAAAGTACCTAACAAAAAAGAGAATGTTACTAGAAAGGAATAAACGAGAATTATTCAGAAATTAAAAGCTCATAAAAATGAAACTAGTAATAAAAAATGTCATCAAAGTGCCTAACGGAAACAGGGAATGTTACAAGCAATCATTCACGAGAAGTAAATTATTCAGAAATTAAAAGCTCAAAAACATGAAACTTGCAATAAAAATGTCATTAAAGTACCTAACGGAAATCGAGATGTTACTAGAAAGGTATCAACGAGAAGTAAATTATTCAGGTATTAAAATCTTATAAAAATAAAACTCGCTAAAAAAATGTCATCAAAGTTTCTAGAAATTGATTACCGATTATGGGATGATAATGGCGTTATTTTCGGAAAATTTTCTCTTCAAGTTCAGTGCAGCAGAAAAATTAAACTCGCAATAAAAAATGTCATCAAAGTATCTAAAAATTGATTACCGATTATAGGATAATAATAGCGTTATTTTCGGTAAATTTTCTATTCAATTTCAGTGGCCATACTTTCAATACTCGCTATGTGAACGTAAGTACTTACGCACTATTTTCTTGTCTATGATTGGTGGATTTTGCTTGAAAGGCCGTCAATGATTGGCTGATGAACTAACGATCTCTTAACTTTTTTTTTTGAAAGTANTCAAGACTGTCGATGGCCTGCGGGCTGTAGTGGTAGAGCAGCAGAACTGACCTGCCCTGGCAGCAGCCTGCACTGGGGTACGGCCGTTCTTATCAAGACTGTCGATGGCCTGCGGGCTGTAGTGGTAGAGCAGCAGAACTGACCTGCCCTGGCAGCAGCCTGCACTGGGGTACGGCCGTTCTTATCAAGACTGTCGATGGCCTGCGGGCTGTAGTGGTAGAGCAGCCGTGCGCACGCCAGGTGCCCTTTGGTGGCCGCGCACGCCAGGGGCGTTCGCCCCCACACGTCGCGCCTCATGGCGTCCAACTCTGCGTCCAGCACCAGCGAGGAGGAGTCTTCCCGCCACCGCAGCAGCGTCGTCAGAACCCTGAGCACCAGGCAAGTGTTAAGTCTTTTTAACGTGCAGGTAAGATACTTCAGCGTCCAGCTGTACATGCCGTAAAACAAAATGGTGATTCTTTATTGTATGAAGCTCATTTGTCTTAACAAACTTTATTGATTGGATTTAGATAGATAGAAAAATCTAAAATAGTTTAGATATCATCAGTTCTTTGCTCTGTAATTGGACAGATATTTCGCCTTTAATTTCAGGCTGCGTTATTACCAGGTAGACTTATTGTCGCCTGTCAAATTTGATCCAATGAATAATTAATGTGGTATATGGAATTAATGTCGTATTTTACACTCTCAAGAAAATTGGTCGTTACGTGGACAAGGTGCTTGTACACGGGAACAGTTGTGGCGGCCTGTACAACTTCCTAATACTAACCGTCACTATTTACCGTACTACTGGCTTATTGTATAGTAACCATATAGTACCTTTAGTGTATAGTAGACCTAGTAACCCTTCACAAAAGGAGAGTAGCGTGATAATTAGTGACGGCTAGTACTTGTAAGATATATTGGCCGCTACTACTGTCCCAGTGTACAAGTAGAAGTTGAAATGAAGTAGAGGTCGTAACAATCTACCACCGATACTTAAAAGTTTGTGCTTTTGCGGGGTGTCAGGCGCTTTGAATATAAATCGGTCACCAGAGAGGTTATCAACAATACTAATCGTGTCGGTTTGCCTGGTTTGGTCAGTCTCCACCACATAAACTCCCAACACATCCACCTCTTTCGTCATCACAAGATATTAAAAAGATTAAGATTGAAGATCAGTAGAGATATTAAAAAATTTAGATTGAAGATCGATCGAGATATCATTAAGATTAAGATTGAAGCTCAATATAGATATTAAAAAAATTTAGATTGAAAATCAATTGAGACAGATATCATTAGGATTAAGATTGATGATCAATAAAACTATAAAAACGATGAAGATTAAAGATCAATGAAGACATTCAAAGAAACAATGAACCAGAATAAGGTATTACAAATTTATTTTTAAAGATAACACTCCTAAAGAGGCCCGGTGTCTCCGATGTTACACATCTACAATAAATTTATAATTTTATTTTTGAAATATTAAATAACCATTATAATTTTTTTAATTTTTTAATGTAAAAATTTGTCGAAAGTTTTTAAATTATTCATTCTGTCAATTAATTCAAGCATTGTCTCCGACTTTAAGAAAGTGTGCAAAATTTCAGATCGATTGGACAATTAGAAGGCAAAATTTCAGATCGATTGGACAATTAGAAGTGTGTTAAATATCGATAATAAGATTTGTAGCAGACAAAAAAACAACAAGAAGTGAAGTTAAATAGAAATTTTACAAAAATAAGAGTTAAGGACTTCTTAGATAACCTGGAGTATCCGAGGGAGGCGACGACGTGTGCGATGGTAGAGCGCGCGGTGCCTGTCGCTGCTGCCGCGCTGTTGGCTGACGCCAGCCAGGGACGGCGGCTCAGACGCTGACAGTACGACACTATCACCTCCTGACACACATACGGCGTCTCGTATAAATAAATTATAATATTTGTTTTGTTGGCTGACGCCAGCCACGGACGGCGGCTCAGACGCTGACAGTACGACACTATCACCTCCTGACACACACATACGGCGTCTCATAATAAATTAATTATAATATTTGTAAACTTAAAGAAAAGATTTTGATTAAATCGATTCAGATCAGACTAATTTTTTGATAAAGCTTTTTACCAGAGTCGGACTGGGCGCCTATAGTACACGATAAGTCACACCACCCGAGCTATGTTAATGTACATGTTATAATGAATGTTTTTCACCACACAGTCGGGAAAAGGGGGTTACGCAAAAATTGATACTTAACATAAACTTTATTGCTTGGATTTAGAAAGATAGAAAAATTGAAAATAGTTTGGATATATATAAAAAAGGTGCATCAGTGCTACGTTCGTTCTTTGCTCAGGAGGTGCGTAAGAAACTTCAATATCTGGAACCGTTACTTTTTGTGACACGTTTATAACTGAACCGTTAATTTTTCTGAACCGATTATAATGAACTGTTAATTATTGTGAACCTTTAATTTTTGTGAACCATTAATACTGAACCATTGATTTTTGTGAACCGTTAATCATGAACCGTTGATTTTTATGAATCGCTTGTACTGAACCGTTAATAATGAGCCGTAAAATATTGTGATTACTAACATACCTCAAAGTTAGGTGTCCTGTGAAGCATAAGCTTCTGATGAGGGGAGCTGGTGATGCCGTCACCACCACCCTCAGGGTAGGTAGTGCCCCCCAGCGGCGCCTGCTGCAGGTTGCTCTCGACGGCGTCAAGGCGCTGCACGAGCGTGAACCTCAACAGTTCCTCCTCCTCCTGCTCCGTGCTTACCGGCTCCTGTCGTGCATAGAGAAAAACAATAAGAATAGAGAAAAGAATAGAGAAAAACAATAAGAAAATTGCCAATAAGAAATACTCTCTAGTCTTCAACGAAACCTGCATTAAAGAAAATCTTCTGCCAAACTACATTAACTTAGAGAAATGTGCACACTTTGTCCTATACATTGTACAGAAATGTACACACTTTGTCCTATACATTGTACAGAAATGTGCACACTTTGTCCTATACATTTTTGTCCTATACATTGTACAGAAATGTACACACTTTGTCCTGTACATGGTACAGAAATGTACACAGGTTGTCCTATACATGGTACAGAAATGTGCATACTTTGTCCTTTACATTACACAGAAATGTACACACTTTGTCCTATACATTGTACAGAAATGTAAACACTTCGTCCTATACTTGGTACAGAAATGTACAGACAGCTCGTGCTCATGTACACTTAGAAAAGTGTACTCACTTTATCCTATGCATTGTACATAAATGTACAGACAGCTCCTGCTCATGTACACTGAGAGAAATACACGTGCGATTGATGACCAGAGAATTCGTTGATTTATATTATCAGGGAGTGGAACAATTCTTCAGATGACGGTGGATTGAAAAGCACATTTCAGGAAGTAGTGTTTTTTTTTTATTTACGAAGTTTCGTTTTTCGTTTGTTGCTTTCGAAACGTCGTTAATAAACAAAAAACTACTTCCTGAAACGTGCTTATGAAACGTGAATGCAACAAACATACATGTTTGTTACATTCGAAACGTCATAAATAAACAAAAACTACTTCCGGAAACGTGCTTATGAATCGTGAATGCAACAAACATACACGGAAATTTGGTTGAGCTTCAAATTTACAACAAGAATTAGTTGCCGAGATGATGGGCTAGTGAAAATCATAGGCAACGTTTTAATAAAATTTAATCTTTGAGAATTTTAGCTATTTTAGTATTTTAGAAATTAATTCTTACAAATAAAGATGTAAATTATGTCTTATTGAACGAAAATACGACAACGAGCCTTTTAGTATAGATAGGATGCAGGGATCATGACGTTTCTGTATTATCAAAGTTTAGAAAATTTAAATGTGAAAATTTAGAAAATTTGAATGGACAAGTATCTTACCAATTTAATCTCCTAAATATATGAGTAAATTAAACCTAATTGGGTATAACAAAAATAGTACAAGTACTGCAGGGATGAGGAGAGCTCACTCACCTCTTTGATCTTGTACTCCTCGAGGGGCGGTTTTTTGTACTCAAATATCACAGAATTAGAGACGACGAAGCCCTGACAGGCGACCTGCAGCGTCACCAGACCCGCCTCGTGAGCTGTGACAACAACATAACAAATAAATAAATAGAATATTAATAAAATTTTAACATTGGTTGGTTGGACTAATGAAAACATGACTAAAAATTCAAAAAAGGTATCATATAAGATCTGAGAAGAACGCCACTTGCAGAACTTTAAAATTAGTTGGTTGGACTAATGAGAACACGACTAAAGATTTTTAAAAGGCATCATTTAAAACCAGAGAAGAACGCCTGTTGCAGGATTTTAAAATTAGTTTGTTGGACTAATGCGAACACGACTAAAGGCTTTCAAAAGGTATACGATAAAACCTGAGAAAAATGCCAATTGCAGGATGAACTAAAGTATCCAAGATACGTACGCGGGCAGTAGCAGCGCAGGACCCCAGACTGGACGAGGGTGGTGGAGGAGGGGGCAATGAACTTAGTTTAGTCTTAACTTAGTCTCTAGTCTTAACTTAATCTCTAGTCTTAACTTAGTCTCTAATTGCAGGAATAAATAAAGTACCCAAGATACGTACGGGGGCAGTAGCAGCGCAGGACCCCAGACTGGACGAGGGTGGTGGAGGTGGGGGCGCCGTCGAAGAGTACCTCGTACGGGGAGGTGTCGCTGTACCAGGGCCCTGTCACCAGCACCTTCACGCCACCCTGTCACCGAAGGTACCGAACCATTAGGAAGAGAGTCCTTGGTATCCTTAGGATAGGAAGGGAGTCCTTGGTATCCTAAGGATAGGAAGGGAGTCCTTGGTATCCTTAGGATAGTCCTTGGTATCCTTAGTATCCTCCACACATACCATATTACCGGGCATGTGCCAGGCATATAGTCACGGTCCAGTCTAATATTCTTTAATGCATTTCCATAGAAGCATTAACAATAGCCGTGCAAGGCACTTGCCATGCCCATGGTGTGAATGCTTCTATGGGAAATATTGTAAATGCATTAAAGAATATAGGACTGGACCGTGTCTGGCATATGCCAGGTACGTGTCCGGCAGTATGGTGTGAACCCGGCCTTACGATTCACCTTACCAGATTATCAACATTTGATACAGCCTTCCAAGTTTAAATATTGACTATTTAATTAACATAATTGATGGCCATGCTAAAAATACAATTCAGAAGCATTAGATATGCCTACAACTTCTGCCCTTTCTGAATTGGGGAGGTTTTAACTCCAGTAAAGACAACGATAAAGCTCGTGTAAATTTACTATTAAATTTTAATTGATTCAATGGCCTTAAGCATCACTAACCGAAAAGTAAACGAAAACTATCATGACACTGGGCTGGCTACAGAACTGTAGAAGCCTCACCTCAGGATATGCCCACTCAGGGGAGTAGTCGGAGATGTTGGCAGTGTTCTCCCGGTAGTCCATCTTAAGAGTTTGTTGGCTTTGATTAGCAACGCTTTTAGTGCTACTGTGATTGGTGCTGGTGCTGCTACTCGTGTCACTATTGTTGCTGTTGGCGTTATCAGGCGGGGAGGTGTCGTAGTGGTCCAAGTCAGGGAAGTCCGTGAGCATGTCAAATGCGTACAGGTTAGCGAGAACATCGTCGTCTTGAGGTGTGATGTCGTTATCAATAAAGTCCATAGGATTGACGTCCACGCCAGAGCTCGGGGTGTCGCGATTACACGAACTTTGTGGCAGGTTGGCGCTCAGGGTTTGCTGGATGTCTTCAGGAGATAGGTCGATGGTATCTGAGAAGAATTCATCTTTCTCCACCGAGAGGTCCGACAATTCGGCTTTGATCCCAAGAAAGCCGTCTTTCGTATGCCTCTCAGCAGTGGGAATCATCGACGAATTGGATAATGTCTCTGCGCTGGAGTGACTGCTGGTGCGACTAACCCTGGCAATATTGTTGTCTCCAGCCTCGAGACTGGAAACCAAGTTCGCAAAAGTTCCGGAATCGAGAGACAAGTTTCCGTTGGTTAGCCCTTCTCGTTTGATTGCTTGGTTTTTCGCGGAAATTTGATTTCCTGAAGGCTCGGTTGATCGGTCGGTTGAACGATGCGAATTGTTATCAGCTTCAACAGAATCTTTCCTTGCTCCAGTTTGTGGTAGAAGATCGGGAATCGCTCGTGACTGTTGCTGGGATGTTCGGTCCTCCATATGATGTTGTGGCGTCTTGTGTTGCTGATGCACAACATGCACGGTGCGTGGATGACCGTGCTGCTGAATTGACTGAGGAACGTGCTGATTTTGAGACCTCAGATGATGAGTGGGTGCATGATGCTGCAACAAAGGCTGAGCCGCCACCGTCATGTGCTGCTGCTGGTAATGTTGTTGCTGCATGTGGTGATGGTGCTGGTGCTGCATGTGCTGCTGTGTTGCGTGTTGCTGATGATGGTGATGGTGATGGAGATGATGCATCGGAGTAGCCACTGCTGCACCAGCATTAGTGACGGAGGATTGTGTGTGGCCGAGGTAAGAAGTGAGAGTGAGGGGTCCGCCGAGGGGAAGGGAATGGTGGGAAGTAGAGTTATTGCCACCGCCACTGTTGAGGATGAGCAGCCCTCCACCTCCCTGGATGGTGGACAGGTTGAATATTAAGGGCGTGGCACTCGAGCTCAAGGTTGTGGAGGCGCCTTCAGCTAGTGGACCAGCGACCGACGTAACCGCTAGGACGGTCTTGGTGCTGCTGCTGTGGTTCCCGCCGCCGCCGCTGCTGCTTGGACTACAACTGTTGTTGTTGTGTGAGTCCTGACCAGTCATGTTGTCGTTATCGTTGTTGCATGTGGCGTTGAGGAGGCTATTGCTGATACTTATAGTGTTGACGACAACGGTGTGATTGGTGTTGTCAGAGCTGACCATGATGGTATTATTGTTGATATTGTCAAGAAGCGTGGTGTTGTTGGTGGTGGAAATAGCAGAGGTAGTAGAGGATGATGTAGAAGAAGTGATGGAGAGGGGAGAGGGATCAGACCCCTCATGGGATAGGCTCAGGCACCGGGGGGTCGAACCCTCGCTCCCTTGTTTATCGGGGCGCTCACCACACGGCGTCACCTGCGGCAGGAGGCGTCCATGTGGAGAGCTTCAAACATCATGCAATATGCGAGGGCAGCGGGGGTGAATAGCAAGGGTGACAACGGTATACAAGAAACGTTCCCAAAATAACTTTGACTTCGGATTCTTGCACTTTGTGTCATGAAAAGAAATTACGAGCTGAATGCTGGATGGCATTTAACTGAATGGCACACTCAAATGACTTCTGATTCTTGCACTTTATGTCATGAAAAGAAATGAAAGTTTAATTAAACTCAGATACGTAACTTTTAGTGCCCGTTTCGTAGTCAAAACTAGTTGCTATCAAAAAAGTTATTTTGGAATCTTTTCTCTGTATTCAACTACGCAACGAAGCCCTGTATAAAATTCTACAGTAATTTGATCAATGGATGGCATATACGGAAGATTTGTGCATTTAAAACTCCGCACAAGACTTATTATTTGGAAGTTGGAACACAATTGAATTACGTCGTTTGCATCAACGATGATAAAAAAAACACTAAAATGTTATGAGTGATAGCATTGTTTCTGAATATGTTCAAATCAAGACAAACATGATCATCAAATTGAAATAAACGTCGTGTGCGAAGCATATATAGCAGGCATGATTCAAAATGAAGTACTTCAACTTCATGTAAGTACGGAGTATAAAAACAGACTTAGAAAGAAAGCGTGTGATACAAGAGCCAACGAAAAAATGCAAAAATGTATAAATTGATCAAAATTAGCTAAGCAAATGGATGTGAAGATTAAAATTAAACAAAAATGCGTTGCTTAGCATATTCCACATTAAATAACGAGCGACATCAGATGGAAGAAGCGAAAGCCTGGACAACAACGAACATCACAGTTTTGATAGAATTTCCTCCGTCTGGATAACACAAGAAAATTTTGGCCTTCAACACTTTGTTAAAAGGAAATTTTATCAAATGCATCTCACATCTGAGAGATAAAAATTTTATCTCAGTTCCCCCACAATATCTTATTTGGATAATAAAGTCAAAACTGCTGGTGTCAGCAAACTTGAAAACCAAGAAAATTAGAAAGAAAATATTAAAGCGTGAAAAATATAAAAAAATACATTAGAATAAACTGAAATGATGGTATATATTTGCGCATGGTCACTGGAATTTAAAAAGCACGATGAAACGCACATGATGATATTTTGTAATTTACAAATCAAATGACCAAATGAAAGTTAGTTTTTTTTAATTTTTGGGGATCATATTGCTTTGATTAAGTACGCATAGCCTTCAATGTTGCGAATGACGTGGACGAAACAAAGGCCACGAAGTTTCCAAATCAACTAAATAGTGCGCTGAAAAAAAGCATATAACAAATAATGTACCCGAAGTTAATTATTCAGCAGTACTAAAGCAGTACTGTTCAGCAGTACTAAATCGTGAGCTACAAAAACAGCATAAGCACAACTGCGGAACATTTGTATAAATAATGTACCCCCAGTAAAATATTCAGGAGTACTTATAATTGTACCCGCAGCAAATGAATCCTACTGCTAAATAATCATCATGCAGTATATGGCTACATACATATGAATATATATGTACCTACATATAAGGCACACATAAATTTCATATAACTGAGATTAAAAGAACATAAGAAATCCAACAAGTGAGTTTTTCACAACAATATAGAAGGTGGCTAGCTGACAGGGGAAATGTTTCTATGCCAACACAAAATTATTCAAGGTTGGAATGCCCTAATTTGGGAATTTTATGGCGACTAATTAATGTGAACGAAAGGTAAATATTAAACATGATAAACATGATACGGTATAGATTAAATCGGTCATGTTCCACGATAGAGAAGCTCATTACATGTATTTGAGTGCTACAGCAGGAAGCCTATAGAGTTCACGCAGTAAGGTTGGGTTTTGCTATTGATTATATTATATTATTATTATATTATACTATTTGCAGCCTATTGTCTTTTTGCAGCCACAACGTACACAATTCGAAATGCATGACGCTACGACAAACTGCGAATTTTCGAATGCAAATTCAAGAGTACAAAGAAACGAAAGCAACAAACATTGCAATTGATTAATTATTAATTTGAAATTCAAAATATTTTGCGTTCCAGTCTTTTAGATAGAAATTTATTGCCGATCATTCAAAATGGGTACATCCGGGTAGAAATCGGTTCGGAAACGAAGCCGATTCATAATCGTTTGCAACCGAACATAAATGCTGAAACAGTTCGGGCAACTAAAACACTTAACAATTTGCTGTAGCAGAAGCTGATCGAAGCGAGACATTCAATTGACATGCAGATACACTAGTTCAATTAAAAAGATTTGCGGAACATGGAAAACGGCATGCATATATCATGTACACTTAGCGGCAAGAAAATTGGGACACTTATAGCATCATATTTCACAAGCGTGATATGCGATGGTCATGGAGAACTTAGTGAGTTCACAGTCTTTTCGCACTTGTGTATGCATTTAGAAGAGTTAACGCTCTCTGGGCAATTACATTACAGCCAAATTTCTTCGTTTTCCACTAGGGAAAAGACAATACTACAACTAAAATATTCTTCAACTGTTTGCAAGGTAGACCAGTATAAAAATTAACTATGAAAAATTAACTACGTCATATGGCCAACCTTCATTTTAATATAATAACAAAATGGTTGATTTCGGCTACGTCTGTCTTATACACACCCGTTCCATACTAAAAGTTCACTGCCTCGGACATCTCTGAGACTTTGTTATAAATTTCCTTACATAGTTTTTATTTAATTGATTTCTCTTAGCTACATTTAACCTGTACTGTGCAGATTAGTACTTTGATGCGAGTTCTTCTATAATATACCATATACTGATCATTGCTTTCAGTCAAGCTTCGATAGCTCAAATCTGGTGCTGTCTACAACATAGATCATACCTGGGAAATTCCTAATGAGTAATTGCAATATTCCGTTAAGTAATTATACATTTATACTTATCACGGAAAATTCATGGAATAATTATACTTATTTCTATCAATTATAGTGACTAAATACTCGTACATTAACAAGCGATTAAAAAGGGCTTATCAATCCCATGTTAAAATTCAATCTAATATCTCTTAATCGCACGATTTTTTCTAAGTTTACAATGAGACGGAGTATTTTGTGATGCACAAGCCAAATAAAAGGCATGGGCAATAATTTTATCGATAACAACCGTCACTTGGTACTTCGTTGCTTCAATAATAAGTATTTCATGAATTTTCAACATTTTTTTGTACGAGTCCCAGTTTTGTACGAGTCCCAGTTTTGTACGAGTCCCAGTTTTGTACGAGTCCCAGTTTTTTTGTACGAGTCCCAGTTTTGTACGAGTCCCAGTTTTGTACGAGTCGCAGTGTACGAGTCTCAGTTTTGTACGAGTCCCCCAGACTATAGAAAATAATAAATTTTCACGTTCTAAATCAAAATGTGGAACTGTGGCTTTTAATCAATTGATCGCTGATTCAAGATTGCACCTTAAAAGTAAACTTAAAAAGTTTCGTTATAGTAAAGCACGTTCTGTTCAGGACGCTGCATGAGAAACTAGCGGAAAAGACGTAAACATTGCCAAGCCGCAAACGCATGCCATGCGACAACATGCATAAAACGTAATTTGTATGGAACAACGAAGCGAAGTTCGGCAGCGAACTTAAAAATAGCTCAGTATGTGAACATCATCAAGGAAAACTAAGTAGAGCGCTAGAGTGAGATATTTTCGTTCAAATTAATTCACAGATCATAGATTTGAAAAGCTTTGAGAAGCTTCTACTTAACCCTCTACCGCCTCATGTCACTCCGGGAACATAACTTTCAACTTAAATTATACGTAAACTATTGAGCGTAGCAACCTGAGGACGTTTGTACGCAACAGAGAACATTTTAAAGTTGTCGTACGTGGCGGCAAATTATACGTAAACTATTGAGCGTAGCAACCTGAGGACGTTTGTACGCAACAGAAAACATTTTAAAGTTGTGAGTGGCGGCAACCATCAGTGCAAGTCATTTTGCGCTCACTAGAACGTATCCTTTTTGGGAAGTAGGCGCGTGACAATATTGCTCCGGTTACTCGTGTCAGGCGGTAGACGGTTAAAGAGTACAGACAAGAGGGAACGTTCGTGATCATGTCTCTCACTTAGCAGCTCTTATAGTTCCTTCACTTTGGTGAAGTGCGTGGTTTGAAATGTTCTATACACTCGTGGTTTGAAATGTTCTATACACTCAGAAAAATAACTAGGTTATATTGTCCAAATAGTTCACAATTTCTGCATGTAGCACTGATACGCCCTTTGCCGTGCAAAACTGAGCCCAGGGGGCCATACTTTCAAAACTCGCTAAGTGAACGTAAGTACTTACGCTCTATTTTCTTGTCTATGATTGGTGGATTTGGCTTGGAAGGCCGTCAATGATTGGCTGATGAACTTACGATCTCTTAACTTTTTTTGAAAGTATAGGCCCAGGATGGCATATGGGCAAGAATTGCATAGCTATTTGGACACAAACTCTCTGAAATTGTTCTGAGTGTACGTTAACTATTCATGTCTATGATATTCTTGACGAGTCAAGAACCGCTTGTGTTCGAGCCGAATGTGAATAATTTTGAGAAAGTATGGAAATCCAGGCATGAATAAATTTCTCGTCGTCTTTTCAATAATTATTGTCAAATTGCCGTACAAACAACACAAGATTAAGTACGATGATTTTAACGCGATTTCAATGTTGCTTAGATTTTGTTCCATGAAATTCCACAAACGACATCGAACACAAACGATCTTCACTGTCATGATAGTGAGGGTAGAGATGTGTCGTGATAGAGGGTGTCATAATTATACGGTCTATATTTTTCTTATTATGTGAACCACGACGGATCGAAACTGCTTGCTACTCCACAAATTGTTTGACTGGTTACTAATTTATGTCACAAATGATGAATTTTTTCTCTGTTAAAATAAGGTTTCAGCTCCGTCGTAACTGGAAGTAAGTTGTGTCTATGGCTCGAATGTAAAAATATATTGTTACATTTGGCACAGAGATATTTTTTTACTAATTAACAATTATTCATGATTAGGGAAAAAGGTCACATTAGTGAAAGCTATGGCTGAATAATGTGAGGAAATAATATGGATCCAGATGAGTGTTTTTAGTTGAATAAAATTAAAAATATACTTAATGTAAAGGGATTCTATATTGGTTAATGAGATTAATGTGATAATGTTAATAAATATATTAGATCATCTATGGGAGATCCAAGGGTGAAAATGTCTACATAACATGAAGTAAACAAAATAAGATGGTAACAATGCATGAAAATATTTTGTTCGTGCCTGAAAATATGCAGCTAAAAGATTCGTGTAAAAAATAACCAAGTAAGTCCATTTGACCAGGAGAGATTTGAAATGATTTTAGATAATAAATGAAAAATAACTATACGGATAATAGAATTTCATCAATAAGGATGATTACTGTCATTACGACCAATCGGCCCGTTCACTTTGGTTTGGTCTTCGAGTAGAATGGAGCTTTGAAAAGAAGGGATTGAATCTGAAGATGTGTTTAAATCTTGCAATTGAAACACGCGGCTTGTAATGAACGTCTTAAAAATTTTTTGTATCAAAAAATACACGGTGAAAACTATTATTTTGACCTAGAAATGCACGGTGAAGACGATAATTTTGATCTAGATACACAGTGAAAACGAAATCAAACTTCTGGAGATGAGGCTATTGATTGAGTCGATGATCATGAAGGATGCTGCGACGAGAAGGTGGTCGAGACTGCAAACTAAACACATTGCGCCACACACCAAAAAAGAAAGATTTAAAACACACAGCAAATCGAATAAAAAATGTGTACGACTAAATCACATTACACGCAGAACGAAAACAATATCGAACAATGCTGCATGACACCTTCACTGATGCAGTGACAGCGACGTTTTTAAGTGCGAGTTAATTCATCAATTTATGTAAGATTATCAGAACTTGATACGTAAATAAATTCGTTTAGACTTCGAAAATTTAATTGGTGGTCTGTACGAAGTCATTTTGATTTTATATTTAGATTCCTGCCCGATATTGAGTTGGCCGAAGCGTTCACCCTCGGCACAGACAGCAGCGTTAACAGCAAAGAAATTTGCTATAGAGATAATATTACATATTTGCGTCGCTAGTTTCAATGCATTGAGTGAAACTGGTCGTGAGTACACAGTGTGTCAATACAAAGAGTAATTATATAGCACAATACGACACTAGAGCCTCTAAAAGATCGTTTACACGACATCCCTGAAACAATGAATCAAGTGGTTCCGCTCGGCGATAACCGGGTCCCGATTGAAACTAATAACAAGTGATAAGTAGAGGAAAGATTATTGCAAAATAGCCACCCCATAAATAGTGGCGACCGAGTCTAATCATGACAATGAATCCTGAAATCAATTTAAATTCAATTATAATAAAAAATCTTATTATTATTTATTTATAGACTTGGGGCACCAAAAAAATCTGTTTAAAAGCATTATAATGAAAAAAATGATATTATTTATTGCTAAACTAGGGGCATCGAAAAAAAAACGTTCCCGCACCACTTTTGGATTGGATGTACGTCGTGTAAACGTTCCTTATGTGCAACACACAAACATCTAAATGCTAATACATCAACGTAACAACGCTGCAAGTCCTAACCAAAGTCCTGTGCAATTTTATCACGCAAAGGCTTTGGCTAAACTTGGCATACACTCAGGAACAATAAATGAGTAATATTGTCCAAATGATGATACACCTTCTGCACGTAGCAATGATACGTATTTTTTATCGCGCCAAAGTGGGTCTCGATGACCCACACGTCACAATGAAAATTTACAGTCGCGGCAGCTTCTGATTTGGATTACCAGAAGATGGGGCGACTCTAAATTTTGTTAGGGTAGGACTTCTTCTCAGTGAAAATTTACAGACGCAGCAGCTTCTGATTGGGATTACCAGAAGCTGGGGCGACTCTAAATTTTGTTAGGAAGAGAGTAAAAAGTGTATCACTATTTGTACAAAGTTCCCCATTCATTTTGTCTGATTGCAGGCGTTGGTTACAGAACTCACATTCACAGCCGCGCTAACGTCAACACAAACAGCACATCTAAGGCGGCAACCGCGGCACATCAAACGCACACTGCTTCGTTAACACCAATATAGAAAATGCAATTAAATGAGCACACACTATATGCAAACTATATGATGATTTCAGCTGCTAGACGACATCATCACGACATAAAGGGAAATGTCTAATTAAGAAGAGGTATATTCATTTGGCATATTAGGAGAATTCTTAGATTAATGGCTTATTAACACATGGATTAAATAGTACTTTTAGTCATAATAGCATTAGGTATCAATAAAAAAATCCTTTCTCTGGAAAAATTTAGACGTAGCTGATCTTCGTGACTGTTCGAGAAAAGGAGGTAACCCCTACTAAAGCTTGAAAAATAACGGAATTTGATGCCACATATCACTCAAAGATATGAAGTGAAACAACGCACAACCAAGCTTGTAATCAGTAAAAATAAATCAAAATACGGTTGATGCAAGATTTCGTGGGCTATAATAGTAAACTTTAAACTTTTAAAATGTTATATTGGTGCACCTTTTTAAGCAAATGATGGGATCGATTACAGTGTCAGCAGATTTAAATTCGACGCTTCGATTACAGATATCAAATAATTTATCAATAATTGTCAAATAATTCGAAATCGTTTGTTTTTTCAGGACAAACAAGACCAAGGGTCTCCATTTTAATTGATTAAAAATAAAGTTTCCCTAATAAAAACAAAACTGTTTATGTTTCCCATCTTTTCACAAGTAGATACTTCGATTGTTCCGCACGTGGATAAATATATTAATAATATTTTAGTATTATGGAGTTTTAACGGGAGATTAAAACTTGGTCGCTGAAGATTAAAACTTTTTTCGAGGGAGATTTAAACAAACATGTATTTTGTTAAAACTTTTGTCTTGGGGGCTTTAAACCAAACATGTATTTTGCTAAAACTTTTGTCGAGGGAGATCTAAACCAAACATGTATTTTGTAACAATAACAACACGGCACAATGGCAGAACACAATAACTCCGCCCGGTATTACAACACCACACAATAACACAACACTACAACACGGAACAATTACACAACGCTACAACATGGCACAGTAATACGACACACAACACGGTATTACAAAACCACACAATAACAAGGCACAATAATACGACACTATAACACGACACAACAACTGTACAATTTCGTCACTCAGCGACGGTTCTTCGAGCTTGGAGACGTGTGGAGTGTTGGTTTAAAAACGGAAATTTGGCTACGTTGGCACATGTCAAGTTAATTTAGAAAACTTTTGTTGAAACTGCATTCGTATTAAGAATTTAATGAGATTAGGGATTGGTTAAAAGAATAAGTTTAACGGTTTTAGAGTAACTGGATTAGGAAAAAGTTTAGGACAAACACGACCAAATCTCAAACGAAGCTTGCACAAGTTCTGGACAACCCCATATATCGAACAGTTGGCATATAATGATATAACATCAACAATATTTCATACAATATATTATTATAAATATTTCATTGCCTACATTATAAATATTTTATGTTAACATTATAAATATTTCATTGTTTACGTTGTTTCATTGTCTACATTGTCAATAATCATCACACAGGGTGACAACATTACCAATGATGGTAAACACACAGATGAACCACACAGGGGGACCACACAGGAGGACCACACAGGGGGACCACATAGGGGGACCACACAGGGTAACCACACAGGGTAACCACACAAGGCAACCACACAGGGTTGTAACCCATCAGTGAGTGGAGGGACCACACAGGGTAACACCACAGGGCTGTAACCCACCAGTAAGTGGGGGGAGGGCGCCAGGCATGGGGGAGAGGGCGACCCCCTTGCCCCCCGCGGGGACGGTGGTACGGGCGGCGCGCTGCTTCTCCAGCAGCTGCGACACTATCGCCTCCACGGTCTCCACCGTCTGAGGTGCATGCATATGTTTAATAAGTTTGAAATATTAATAGCGTAAATATGCGTTAATAACGTCATTAGTGATGCTAATATTAACGTCATTAATGATGTTAATAACGTCATTAGTGACGTTATTAAAGTTATTAGTGAAATGTCCCTTATTTGCGTTACTAATAACGTCATTAGTGATGTTAATAACGTTATTAGTGATGTTAACGTCATTAGTGATGATAATAACGTTATTGGTGATGTCAATAACGTTATTAGTGATGTTAATAACGTTATTGGTGATGTTAACGTCATTAGTGATGTTAATAACGTTATTGGTGATGTTAAGAACTTTATTAGTGATGTTAATTCCGTCATTAGTGATGTTGATTATGTCATTAGTGACATTAACGTTATAAGTGATGTTAATAACGTCATTAGTGATGTTAATAACATTATTAGTGATGTTAATAACGTTATTAATAACGCTATTAACTCCCCTAACAGGAACGATAATAACGTTCCTTACGCACTACCTTGTACGAGACGTTATTAACGTCATTAATAACATTAAGGAATACCCTTAAAAACGACGAAGTTCACTCCCCCATCAGAATGAGGGCATCAAGCGTTAGCACTGCGACAATAAGCAGAGGCTGTACAACCAAAGCTGAGGCCATACTTTCAAAACTCGCTAAGTGAACGTAAGTACTTACGCTCTATTTTCTTGTCTATGATTGGTGGATTTGACTTGAAAGGCCGTCAATGATTGGCTGATGAACTTACGATCTCTTTTTTTTTAAATATAGGCACTGGGGCCATACTTTCAAAATTCGCTAAGTGAACGTAAGTACTTACGCACTATTTTCTTGTCTGTGATTGGTGGATTTTGCTTGAAAGGCCGTCAATGATTGGCTGATGAACTTACGATCTCTTAACTATTTTTGAAAGTATGGGCCCTGCATGGTCTGTAGGCATCGTCCAATCACTGATGAATTGTCAAGCTTAACCCACCAATCACAGATTAGTTTCGGTCGCTACGTGTACTGAAGCCGCTACATACAGTAACGACACAACGTGTAGTTAGGCAGCAACGTGTACTAGAGCGAGTTTTGATAGTATGAATGCATGACGCATGCTGTGCGGCGGCGAAGATATTTTACTTTAAAACAAGCAGGGCATCAATAACGATTAGTGCCATATATGGAGTTGCAGCGAATTAATTGTTGTCAGTGGAATAACCATTAGTGAATGATCATAAATACAACTCTAGTCTCTAACGTCATTATCTAGTGCATTTCATATTTATTTCTTCGTTGCGTTTATTGGAGCTTGAGAAATGCTTCAGTTGAAGCTTCAGTAAGGAAAACTCGCTTTTTATTATTGGAATTCCTTAAATAACAGTGAAAATAATAATATGAGTGAAGTGATAATGCCTCACATTTGACGAGAAGCGGACACAAAATTTCTATGAAGTTCGGAAAACATCAAAAATGAAATTAAGTTACGGTACATAAAATTCACGTAATAGGTAACTTTTTCATCTCTCAGGAGCACGCGTACGTGTTTACCAGTCCAGGAGGCTACTGATTCAATGGACGTAAACTTTGTCAACAACGCAAAGGAGTTACATGAAAATGGACATTAGTTGAGTATTACACATGGAGCCAAAAAAGCCACGCAATACGTGGCATAGCTAGAAAATTCATGCCGGGTTCACACCATATACTGCCGGACACGTGCCAGTCACGGTTCAATTTTCTTAATGCATTTCTATAGAAGCGTTCACACCAGCAGTGCTATAGGCACTTGTCATGCAAATGGTGTGAATGCTTCTATGGAAATGCATTAAAGAATATTCGACTGGACCATGACTGGTATATGCCTAGCGCGTGGCCGGCAGTATGGTGTGATACCGGCCTTAGCGTGCGCATAAGAAACAATAGCGCATTTTTTCCATAAATGAGAAAATGCGCTAAAAAGCGGCAGCGATCTTCACAATAAACGAAGCAGACTTGTCATGATGAGCAAAACAAAGCAAACTAAAAAGATTTGAGCAAATAATTATGAAGACGTAAACGTAATCTACTGTTCATTGATCTTCTTATCTTTGCATGGCACAATTTACGATAACATAAATTATAAAATAAAACAATTAAAGATAATAGAAAGCGACATTTTCCCTACTCAAGAGGAAATTTGTAGCATCTACTTCCCTCATGGAATCGAAGAGCGCCAATGAAAGCAGAGAGATAAAAGCCGCGTGCAAGCGCGAAATAACGGTATTCTCATTAATAACGAATAGCAGCATGAAATAACGGCATTCTCATTAATAATGAATAACGGTTCGAAATAACGTCATTCTCATTAATAACTGATAACGGAGTGAGATGACGGCATTCTCATTGATAAGGGATAACGGCGCGAAATAAAGGCATTCTCAATAATAACGAATAACGGCGTAAAAGAACGGCATTCTCATTAATAATGAATAACGATGCGAAATAACGGCATTCTCATACATGATAGTAGCGAAAAATAATCTCATTATCGTTTTTACACCGATACATTACAAAATTATAAGCGGATGCTTGGCAGTGGAAGCAAAACAAAATTAGTAATGCGGCGCAGCAGAAATGTGATGTAAAAAATTAGAATTTTTTATTATTATGCATAGAAAAAAATTGATAGCCGAAACACATACCTTACTGACGTGACTAAAGGGCCTTCCACCGCAAGCATTCTAAGGTGCAACACAAGGACACATTGATGAATTATGTGCACATACACACACATCATTCACAAGCAAGACGTGTATACGTTATAAACAAAACAATACATTTACAACACCTCAAGACATGTTAGAGCTCAAGCTTATTAGCGTTGCACATTAGCTTCATTAAATCTCCATACAATATGTACTCTGGCATCACATCGTTATGTGATGCCAGAGTATCATTATAAATATTATATAGTATCATTATATATAATAGAAGAGCATCACATAATGCTTTTCACATCATTATAAATTTCTACATAATTTACTAAAGTATATTAGTGATGGAAGCTATTCAGCACACCTAACATTGAAGACCTATAAAGCTGCTCCATGTAACGATAATACTATATACTATAATGATACTATATAGCGATCAATGTTTTATAGTATCATTATATATAATAGAAGAGCATCACATAATGCTTTTCACATTATTATAAATATCTACCTAATTCACTAAAGTATATTAGTGATTGATGCTATTTAGCACTCATAACATTGAAGCCTTATAAAGTAACGATAATATGGATACTCCAAATAACTCGCTCAAAAAAATGAGTGAAACTTTGTACAAATAACAATAAAACTTTTGGACAGTGTGGGTCAACCAGACCTACTTCGGCGCGGTAAAAGAGGAGTTTCAGTGCTACGCGCACAAAGTGCATCACAATTTGGACAAATAAAGCATCTATTTCTTTGAGTTTTTGAACGAAAATCAAAATAAAGCGCGCGGAAGCAAAGTCACGAAAGGATGTCGTGAAATAATTGTTTAGGGATCATTTTTAGATACGTAATTTCACATGACACCAGGACGATCGTATTTATTATGGTACGTGTTCTTCTTCTAAAGGCTATGGTCACCTTTCGAGATACAATATACAATGGTTCATAATTTACAATACAATAGTTCAAGAAGTACCTGGACCTAATTGGTTATAATGAAGAGGTTAGTAGACAACTAGCCCAGTAAAAATTTAAATGACATCGCCCAGCCTCAGCTACGCAATTTCATGCGACATTAGGACGGTCGTACTTATTATGGTATGTGTTCATTTCTAAAGGCTATGGTCATCTTTCGAGATCGTATCGTACAAGTTTAAGAAGTACCTCACTGTAAGGAAAATCACCGTTAAACGGTCACACCGGCGTTCTAGTAACGGCCGGCACGTGAAAAGAAACACCGTATGGCCGTTTTTTTTAACTTAACACTAGAAACCCGTACAACATCTGAGAAATTAGATCAGGACTCACTACAGTGTGTGACAGAGAGCGCATTTTCTCGTCCGCCCGTTCGTGAAGTCACGGACAGGCAGGCAGACGGACGGACGGACGAACATGACGAGCACAACAGCGCATTTTTTCCATGAATGAGAAAATGCGCTAAAAACGGATGAACGGTTTATTTTCACGTGGCGGCCGGCCACTAGAACGCCGATGACACCGTTTTTTACCATTTTTAGCGCATGTTCTCATTTATGGAAAAAATGCACTATTGTGCTCGCCATGTCTGTCCGTCTGTCTGTCTGGACGTCTGTCCGTCCGTCTGTCCGTGACCTCAAGTTTTCGTCGACGAGAAAATGCGCTCTCTGTCACTCACTGCAGTGAGCACTGAGTTACATTTTTTTAAAGGCTATGGTCATATTTCAAGGTACAATATACAATGGTTCATACTTTACAATACAATAGTTCAAGAAGTACCTGGACCTAATTGGTTATTATGAAAGGGTTAATACACAACTAGACCATTAAAAATATAAAGGACATCGCCCAGCCTTAGCACAACTCACCGAGATCTCGACCTCATTGTTAACGTCAGGCTCGTCTTCACTGTAGACTGTAAGGCAAAGAAGTCACAGTTTCAACAAAACATACATTGTAGAAATTGAAAAATGTAATTACTACTAAATGATCATTTGATCACTTTTAAATAATTAATAAGGATAAGAGAAAAATATTTGCAAGAAAAGGAAATTCTTATGGCTGCCTCCTTCGATAGTATTGTGAGAAATTTCGTTCGAATCATCTTGGGTTCACAAAATAACTTGTAATTACAAAAATTCTTCGAGATTCTAGGAATCTCGCATCTTCTGTAAGTGTCACCTAGCTAATTCATTCCTCGGCCACTTTTGAATAGTTTAGGCATGATGGATGAGCCGCAGTGTTTTAGGATATACAACTCTGAGCACAGAGTAAGTTGGTGTAAGTCAAAAATAAAGAGCTAAGGTTCTGCCCAGTTATAGAAGGAAATAAAGCGGTACCTGGAACACTTCGCAAGGCGCAGAGACGTACGAGAGTTGACACTTCGACAGTGTGTGTCTAAATAAGAAGGTTTAAAATACGAGGTTACTAGCCCGTAGGGTTTGAATTGGAAGATGAATCTTCTTACACATGGGTTTGAGTTGAAAGATGATTCTTACACATGGGTTTGAGTTGAAAGATGATTCTTACACATGGGTTTGAGTTGAGAGATGATTCTTACACATGTGTTTGAGTTGAGAGATGATTCTTACACATGGGTTTAAGTTGAGAAATGATTCTTACACATGGGTTTGAGTTGAAAGATGATTCTTAAACATGGGTTTGAATTGGAAGATTTTTCTTACACATGGGTTTGAGTTGAAAGATGATTCTTACACATGGGTTTGAGTTGTGAGATGATTCTTACACATGGGTTTGAGTTGGAAGATGATTCTTACACATGGGTTTGAGTTGCTAGATGATTCTTACACATGGATTAGAGTTGCAAGATGATTCTTACACATGGGTTCGAGTTTTAAGATGATTCTTACACATGAATGATTCTTACACATGGGTTACAGATGGGTTACAGATCTTACATGGCTTACATGTAAGACATGGGTTACAGATCTTACAACACAGATGATTCTTACACATGGGTTTGAATTTTAAGATGATTCTTACACATGGGTTTAAGTTGAGAGATAAGCTCTTCTTTCGTCCACTCCTTCTTGTCTGCCCAGAGGGAGATGCTGGAGGCCAGCACCAGCTTGTTGTCATCAGGGTATGGCACGTTCAGGTAGTGCACCAACACGATGTCTGGGTTCTGTTGGGAGCGTTTTGTTAGTGCTAAACCTTAAGAACGCTAACCTAAAACCTTAAAGAACGACAGTGCATTATTTATGCCGTCTGATTAAACAAACTTATTCTCTACGGTAAACAGTAAATATACTTGTAATATTTCTGAAACAGACACACATGAAATTAGACTAGAGACAGAAATGTCTCATCAAGAGACAGAAATGTAGACTATTGACAGAAATGTCGACTAGAGACAGAAATGTAGACTAGAGACAGAAATGTCTTATCAAGGCAGTAGCGCGGCATAATGCCAGCCAAGCAGCTAGCAGCACTGCTGGCGACAGCAGCACCTATGGAGGACAACTTTGTCGCTAATGTCTCTTAGAATTTTTTTTTTGCGCAGCTTAAAGGCTCCATCGAGCGCTAACGGTTCAGTAACTGCCTCGGTGCGTCCCTCAACGACCAATTCCCGATAAGTTTCGCAGCGAGGTAATTAACCCCTCACCGAACACGCCGCGCTCTACACTAAAGATTTGCCAAGACTCATCCCGGCTCGTCATAAACGCTTTAGTAGACTTAAAATAAGATATGGTAACTTAGAATAAGATATGATAACTTAGAATAAGATATGATAACTTAGAATAAGATATGATACCTCGAGATGTTAAAATAAGATACGATACCTCGAGGTGTTAAAATAAGATACGATACCTCGCACATGACGGCGATTTCTGAAGAGATGACGTTGAGGTATGAAATTGATATACGCGTTAAACACAGGTTTAATTTAAACATTTGTTCTTGAATTGAAGAGGTCAAAATTATAGATGATGGAATCAGCAGCACATCCATGCTTTTGAGAGGGGAAGACGCGTCTTTACGCAGTGAGAACGTGATCAAAATACGTTACCGTAATTAAATTATAATATATTTACATTAATCGAATTATTATGAGAACGCTCATGGTCCTATTCACCCACGGAGGGCTTAGACATCGTTGACGCTACATGTTAAGCTCAAATTTTTTTTTAAATGCTCAACTCCAATGTTAGTGTATTCGTTCCAGCAATGGTTTCGTATTCATTATTCCCCGGTCCGCAGTACGACAGTTACACGGATCACTAGGTTTACCGTTACGCCTTCTCTTCCATGACATTATCAACCTCAACAATTAAACTTAACCCATCAGCTTAATTAAGGAAAATGTTGCAGCGATTAGCCAACAATCGGAAAGCATCTACGTACCTACAAGTAGTTTGATGGGTCATTCTCCAGAAACGAGTTCACTTCCAGTGATGCGTTTGACGTCTTAATGTGTGTAAAAATGTAATCCGAACAACTGTTGGTTTATCTGTCTAAACTTGTTATAAGTATAGTATTCATTGAAAGTTAGTCCTGCTTGAAAGAAACTGAGTTTTAGGTAATGCAGACCGACACAAAATCGAATAAAAATGAAATGATAAGTAAAATAACAGTATTCCTACTAATAAAATAAAATTTTCTATGCAACAGTCGAAACATAAAAACTTGGACAGGGTGAGGCATGTAAATTTTGCGAAGACTAATGCAGACCGATACAAAATCGAATAAAATGAAATAATAAATAAAATAACGGTATGTATACTAATAAAAGAAAAATTTTCTACGGGACAGTCGAAACATAAAAATCTGGAAAAGTGGATACATGTAAATTTTGTGGACAGACTACACCCGGAAAAGTGGATACATGTAAATTTCGTGGACAGACTACACCCGGAAAAGTGGATACATGTAAATTTTGTGGACAGACTACGGAAAGCAGCAGCGGGACAGCGATCCCCGTAGGCATGTTTTGTAGATGTCGCGCCTCTTGGTTGGAATTGAAATGACGAAAGAGGCTGTGAGGCCAACCAATGCATTTTGACATCGCGGGGCATATACAGCGCGCACGTCGACATGAACGAGACGAAGTCGACATGACGAGGAAAAGCTTGTAAAACATAGCAAGGATGTAGCAAATTGCATCTGAAGCTTTAGGAACAAACTTGAATAAAAATGGGAACAAAACGGAAGAATGAGTCATAATCGAAAATAATATTGGGCGTCTGATTGAATGTCAGCGATAGGGAGAGCCCAAATCATAAAATTCGAGTGATAATACGAGTAAAGTTAGAGCTATTTTTGAGAATGAGCAAACATCACAAAATATACGACAAAAAAATTGAGCCCATTGATGTCCTGTAAGCGAAAAAACAATTCACTACTTTTAAATGCCCATTGAATTGCGATCTTATAGAAGCCACGATACCCTACAACACGGACCTGTGAACCCATTATCAGCTGGGCGCTCTGTCATCTCCATCAAAGGGCTTGGCAGGAGCTTGGACAACATAACCTGTTCCCAGCCGGCGCTGTGTCAACCTCCATCAAAAGGCTTGGCAAGAGCTTGGACAACATGGACCTCTTCCCAGCCGGCGCTCTGTCATCTCCATCAAAGGGCTTGGCAAGAGCTTGGACAACATAACCTGTTCCCAGCCGGTGCTGTGTCAGCCTTCCTTCATTGGGCTTGGCAAGACACACTAACTTCGAGGACCTCATCAGCAAGCCTCTAACTTCGCCCGATGTCGTGCACGCACGGAAAGCTTTTTGTTCCGCCGTATACGTACAGAGTTCTTCTCGATTATTACAACACATTGAATTCTTCGAAAAACTTTAACGAAAATCGATATCAAAAATTTCCACGATGAACTTACAACCACGTCCAACATCGACAAATTTACAATTTATTGAAGTTCAAGCGATTATGCCAATTAGTTAAAGAATTTAAGAGCTTCTAGTCAATTCAAACGTTATAAGATTATCGTTAAATTGTTCTTTTTATTTGAGATTAGCACGTCTGGCATCAGTCAAACGTCTTATGGGTTCAATGGCGCGGCTGGCCCCAACCAAAATTGGTCTAATGGATTAACATCGCACAATTTTTCGAATGAAATTTCTTGAACAGCTACAATTCCATAAATTTCTCGAAGAACTGAATGATCAGGCTTGAAAGCAACAAGCAGAAGCGGAAGCCGAGGCTAGCGCAGGCAGGCAGGCTCTCCCGCTAGGTGTTTTGTGAAGGCAAAAGCATTGCAAGTGCAAACTCTCTCGGAATGAAAATGAGGCTCCGGTCGCTGCTTCTTATGACAGCAGAAATGTTCAATCATTTACGGCCCGTATCGATGTAATTAATTGTAAAAACTATTTTTATCGCCATTAGCATTAATATTACCTAAAAAATAAGCTGCATTTTTAGACTCAAGTTTCAATGTACTGAAATTAGAACAAAAACGCGGAACAGCATTTATATGGACGTGTCGGATTTTTGAGCTTCGTTTCATAAAAAAACGTGCATTTCAAATCATAAAATCAGTATAACTTATTCAGAGGAATCTGAAATATAATTATTAGTGATGAACATCCTAAAATTAACTATTATATCTTCAACAGTCGCGTATGAATTCTTCAACGAAAATCAACAACTGGAGCTCTTGATTTAGAAGCGCCCAAACGGTTAGCAAATGACTTCTGAAACATCAGTACTAAGGCATCCTACTTAATTCGTACACATCTCTCACAATAGAAAAATAATGACCCAGGGGCCATACTTTCAAAACTCGCTAAGTGAACGTAAGTACTTACGCTCTATTTTCTTGTCTATGATAAGTGGATTTTTCTTGAAAGGCCGTCAATGATTGATTGGCTGATGAACTTACGATCTCTTAATTTTTTTTTAAACTATAGACCCAGATAAATAACCCGACAATATCTACAAAAGATACATTTTAAAGTGAGCACAGCCAAACACAGCCCAGGTTGCAAGATGGTGGGGGGCAGAATGAACCCGGCAAGGGGGGCGAGAAGATCACCGATACCCGCGGTGCTTGGAAAACTTTCTGAGGTACGAGCGCGCGTGTACAACACCGAATGTGTTGGTCTTGTTAGGACTAAAATAAAGAGTCCCAGGGGGGCATGTAGTTGAAATTTCGGTGCTTTGTGGCGCTTGCAAGGCCTTTACAACAGCTCGCCTTTAAAGCCATTTATTTGGGGCATGCATGCGTTGGTCTGTCTGCCCACCGTCGGTCCTCAGAGAGCGTGTGTTGGCATCAGTTTCAGCGTAGAGTTGATGGCTTGGATGTTAGAAAATGAGGGAGTCAAGCCGTATTTTATGAGTAAAATATACAATAATAGTTCAAGGTATCATAAATAGGTAGCTATATTGGATTCAAAGGTAATATTTGGTGGTAAAGAATTGTGATGAGTCCGACAAGAGATATTTTGGAGGTGAATAAATTGTTCCAGCAACATGAAGGCGTGAATGGATGTGGCATACATGGACCGGTGTGAAGGACACGGTAGACTGGAGTGACCAAACTAAAGAAGATTGAATTGGCGCACAGAGATATAATTGGCGCACAGAGATAGAATTGGCGCACAGAGATAGAATTGGCGCACAGAGATAGAATTGACGCACAGAGTTAGAATTGGCGCACAGAGTTAGAATTGGCGCACAGAGTTAGAATTGGCGCACAGAGATATAATTGGCGCACAGAGATAGAATTGGCGCACAGAGATTAAAGTGGCGCACAGAGATAGAATTGACACACAGAGATATAATTGGCACACAGAGATAGAATTGGCACACAGAGATATAATTGGCACACAGAGATAGAATTGGTGCACAGAGATAGAATTGGCACACAGAGATAGAATTGGCACACAGATATAATTGGCACACAGAGATAGAATTGGCGCACAGAGATATAATTGGCACACAGAGATAGAATTGGTGCACAGAGATAGAATTGGCACACAGAGATATAATTGGCGCACAGAGATAGAATTGGTGCACAGAGATAGAATTGGCACACAGAGATAGAATTGGCACACAGATATAATTGGCACACAGAGATAGAATTGGCGCACAGAGATATAATTGGCACACAGAGATAGAATTGGTGCACAGAGATAGAATTGGCACACAGAGATATAATTGGCGCACAGAGATAGAATTGGCGCCCGAAGATCGCATCGTCACACAAACATTGAATTGTAGCACAAGGATCAAATTGCTGTCCAAAGATCGATTATTACCAATACGCTACTGAAGGCCGCAGCGAGGCAATACTCTATAGTCCAGAGGCTTCCAAACTTTTTTCACCAAGGGCCAAGAGCAAGCTTTTTGAAACCTTCGCGGGCCGGTCACGCATAAACGCCGCGCTCGATTCGATTTTTGTACACATTTTGTTGAACTACGAGATATCCTCGGCGGGCCGGATGGAAACCGGCCCGCGTGCCGCATTTGTAGACACCTGCTCTATACGTTAGTGAGGGCTGTAGTGAATACGTCCGGTAATGACTTCTGCGTACAGAATGTATCTTTTAAATGATACGTAACTGGTAATTACGAGTTAGCAGCGTGCGACCATCTTACCTGCAGGAGCCCATAATAAAGACTTAATAGTAAGATTTAATAATAAAGAATTAACAATGAAGATTTAATTAAGTCTCTATTATGGCGTGCGGTCATAATAAAGAGTTACCTGCAGGAGCCAGTAACATCTGCGGTGGAAGGTAGGCAGGATGGCAGAGTGTACGTAGCAGCCGTAGATGCACTGTGAGGAAAAAACACATACGCTGTAATATGAACTTACGGGTACAGTGTAAAGACTGCACATCATTGCGGTAATGGAAAGATCAGCCCACAAGATTACTCAACTGCAATCAGCAACCGCACTATTGAAACAAGCTCAAGTACACGTAGCGGCCTACGTACAGGTAGCACCTGAAGCAAACGTAGCGGCCTACGTATAGGTAGAACCTCAAGTACACGTAGCGGCCTACGTACAGGTAGCACCTCAAGCACACGTAGCGGCCTACGTACAGGTAGAACCTCAAGTACACGTAGCGGCCTACGTATTAGCACACTAAGCACACGTAGAGCCCCAAGTACACTTAGCGGCTGATTTATTGTCAGTGATTTGTGGGATTAGTTTGAAAAGGCATCAGTGATTGGCTAGCTGAGTTACAAACTCATGACTCTTTTCTGACAGTAGATGACTTGATGATAAGCGTTTTACATAGACGACAGTAGACGAAATGCAACATGTGAAGGCTAGTGAAATCATATTCTGCAACGAGGTCGAACGATGGCTGCTACTTTAAAACAAATTCTACGAAGTACTTATATAATTAGCTACATTAAATCACCGAGAATTCACCAGTAAAGAAAACATCATGCCAATTCACCATGAATCCATTGGAAACGTTTCGGAGACCAGCTTGATTGTACTTGTATTCTTTAAGTTCTTGAACTGATGGTGGCGGTGGTCTCCAAAACGTTTCAATGAAGATTTGGCGAATTTACTTTACCTACTGAATTTTCTTTTAAAATTATCAGAGAATATGGCGCAAAAAGAGTGTCCAATATATAAAGTTATGCGCTCGCAGTAGGAATAGGGAGACCAGCTCAATGCTCATGTCAATATGTTCGATCAAACATTTATTAAGTATTATATTTAAAGACGAACATTGATGTTTGAGAAGCGAAGCTTGGCTCCCTGGAGGTCTGAGTTATACCCAAACATAAACAATCATTTCTTAAGTGTGTAGCAATAATGAGCATAAACTGTTTTAGGATGACATTTATATTGAATAGGTTAAGAAAACATGATTTGGTACGGTATATAAGCTGTAGCCAAACGTTCCCTCGGCTGAAATACGCGTTCAGGAGTCGTTCTACAAGCTCAAATTTCTAGGACATAAAACTTCAGTTTCAGGTGGAATTACACTTCTAGTTTCAATTCGAATACATTGAGTGATTAAGCAATGAAGGCAGGCGAAAAGAAAATGAGTTGAAATGTCTGTATCCAGTTTAAATTTGTATGAACTTATTGAACTTAACCATTATCAAAAGTGGAAAGTTCGCGCTCGTAAGCGAAAGACCTGAATCAATGAAAATTTCTTAGAATCTGATTTAGTCTTAGTCCGTTATGTTAATGAGAGCGAGACAAAAAAGCCGTCTTCCGAGGCCCACGAGCAGCGAATATCGATCAAGTGCGATCGGCCGGGCGTGCCCGCGAGGCATTAAAGCGCGCGTCTGATAAGTCTTAAGAACTCAACTCTATACTCCTGAAAACTTCCAGCCGTACAATGCAAACTTTCGCTTCAAGAGATACTTGAAAAATGATGATCATGAAAATCGTGATCTTGAAGATCATGAAAATCATTATCTTGAAGATCATGAAAATCATTATCTTCAAGATCATGAAAATCATGGTCTTCAAGATCATGAAAATCATTATCTTCAAGATCATGAAAATCATTATCTTCAATATCATGAAAATCATTATATTCAGGATCATGAAAATCATTATCTTCAGGATCATGAAAATCATTATATTCAAGATCATGAAAATCATTATCTTCAGGATCATGAAAATCATGATCTTCAAGATCATGAAAATCATGATCTTCAAGATCATGAAAATGATGAAAAAGATCATGAAAATGATTTGGTCTTCGTTTCATAGAGAAGTCATAAGGCACAACGCAACAAATTTTACAAGTGACTAAACCCAAATAATCACGGTATAAGATTAACGATGAAGAAGATCACACTTAACCAGATTCAAATATCATGAAATAATTTTGCATCAGCTTGTCCTCTCGTATGCCATTATGAGACGAGACAGCCAGTAGACTGTTGTACATTCCGTCAATACTACAGTTCAAGTTAGATCCGCACTAACATCATAACCGCACTAACATCATAACCGCACTAACATCATTGATGGGTAATTATTTTTAGCGTTTGGGAGGAACATGAATAATTATTATTGTTCGAGGCTAATTATTTTGCGCCCATTATCGGCTCGTCGAAAACATCTGCCTCACGCACGTACAAAAGAATTGTTCACGAAAATAGATAATTCCAGGCAGGATGTGCAACTTGTGAATGGAATTGTGACTATTAAGATCAAATTCAGTTCTACTTCCGCATGAGGTTAAACGAGTCCACTACTCAGATATTTATTAGCTTCAGAGCACAAAACCTCAAGGAGTTGAGCAAATGATCTCGACGTCTACACTGATAGGGCTACATGACACCATGAATATAAATTACAATTTAGAAATGAGTAAGTCTTGCATTTGAGAGCGAGTGTGCACGTGTACGTTTTGTATTGATGAGCTGCACGATGATGACATAGACACTTCAAAGAGCTCCAGCCACGCTGCTCTAGATTTTCAAGATATTTTTGAAATCTCATAAAAATGCCTAAAAGTCCAAGTAAATGCATAGCTTGATATAGATATCAGTTGAGGCTTGATCGCGTTCGGTTTCTACGGTTAAACATCAACTGAAACCTTGTATATGCGCCAAGAAGTTGATAGCTATATGGCCGTTTTTTTGTTGATAGCTATGGCAGATATTTTTTTATAGCGATAGTAGATAACAAGAATCATTGTTCCGCCTATGGTGATGCTTGACACTCCAATTGCATATCAATGAGTAAATAGCTATACTTTTGTAGGAAAACATCTCGTTGAGCATATAAATTCAAAGGCCATTTCTACTGAAATCTAAACAATCGTGCAGTGACTAAAAAATTGTACTAAGTCATTGTTCCGCCTGTAGTCATGCTTGACACTCCAATTGCATATCAATTAGTAAATAGGTATATTTTTGTAGGAAAATATCTCTTTGAGCATATAAATTCAAAAGCCATTTGAAATGAAAGCTAAACAATCGTGCAGTGACTGAAAAAATTGTACAAAGTCATTGTTCCGCCTGTAGTCATGCTTGACACTCCAGCTGAACTCCAGTAAATAGGCATACTTTCGTAGGAAAATATCTCGTTGAGCATATAAATTCAAAAACCATTTGTAGTGAAATCTAAAATAGGCATACCTTCGTAGGAAAATATCTCGTTGAGCATATAAATTCAAAAACCATTTGTAGTGAAATCTAAAATAGGCATACCTTCGTAGGAAAATATCTCGTTGGACATATAAATTCAAAAGCCATTTGTACCGAAACCTAAAAAATCGTGCAGTGACATAGACTTGAACAAATGAAAGTCAGAAGTGCAAAGAGGGAGGGGCAGTTCGGGAGCCCGAGATCCCATTCTCGTGACTAGTAAGGCTGGAAAAATAAGCCTGCCAGTGATGAGGTAGAAAGAGCCTCGGTAATTAGCAAGAGCCTCAGGTCAAACGGAAGCAAAAATTCGCTCAAACACGACAAGACATTAAGCGCAGACAGCAACACAGGCTTAGCTGAATATGTTCGTGTAGAGAAAGATCGCAAAAATTAAAACCGGCTCGGTGAAAAAAACACCGAGAACATGAATTCTATCAGGAGGTGTTTCAAGTCCATAAAATAATAAACTTTGTCACGACCTTCCACAAAGAAATGAAAACATAAGTTGCTGTCCTATTCAGTGAATAAGTTCATTTATCGCGTCAGTGGTTTGTACGTGATGAGCGAGGCATTTGCCTATGACAAGACCAAACGATTCAAGTTTAAAGAGCCACGACCTATATAATCCCATAGACAATATCATCGAGTGGCATAATGATTGATGTATTCAATTAAGGAGGGTGGATTTGGAGAGAAATTAAAACTGAACGATGGACAATATGCTAACAGGAAAGCTTCGGTTGAAACAGCATAAATATTACCTTTTCTTCTAGGAAAATCGACTAGGCCATCGACCAAGAGTAAACGATGAAACAGGCTTGAAATTAAACCCATTAACAGGATCACTTCAAGTCCCCATTCTCATTCGCCCTTTAATAAAAGGCGTTTATCAAAGTAAGTCACACAATAATACTCGAATGAGCTTCAAGTTTTGAAAACTTATCACTCCTTCAATCAAAAGTGACAACAGTGAAAATTTGTAGACGCGTCAGCTTCTGATTTGTATTACCAGAAGCTGGGGCGACTCTAAATTTTGTTAGGGCCAGTGAAAATTTGCAGACGCGGCAGCTTCTGATTTGTATTACCAGAAGCTGGGGCGACTCTAAATTTTGTTAGGGAAGAGACGGCCTGAGGCCGTGCTATTGCTGGATCAGTATTAGTCTTGAAGAGTCGCCCTGCAGGGCCGTTAGCTCACCTCAATACCCTGCACTTTGAGCTTCATGTGGTCCTCTCGTGTGGTCTTGCCATCCTTGCGCTTCTTCCAGCAGTAACCGTCGCGACGGTAGCGCACTTTCTTGCGGCTGTACAGCAGCATCGAGCCGCTCTTGGGTCTGCAACGTAACATTCAAATAAACTCATATTTCACTGAATAATTCAACGAGTTCTTCAACACTAATGAACATATAATTTTCAAACACTATTGAACCTATAATTTTCAAACACAGCTGAACCTATAATTTTCAAACATTACTGAACAAGAAATTTTTAAATACTACTGAACCTGCGAGAATAACAATGGTCTAAGCCCAAAATTTCAAAATACGATATTTGTAAAATTTCTTATACGTTATCCAGTGAGCATATCTGCAATTTTATCGGCCCTGATCAGTGACATGTTTTGAAATCAAATGTCTGAACTATTCATATTAAAAGCATTCGAACAACAGCTTTCTCCTAACTTCGAATTATTTATCTATTAAAACGTGTTAAATTGGCATTGTACGTAATGGCTCATAATGAAGTGAATTGACATCTTGATTTCGGTTTCATAATTAATTCAAAACTTGACATTTAAAACTTTATAATCTTTCAGTTGCACGGTACAATGATCAATGCTCAATGACTTCCACACTAATCTTCAGTTAAAGTTGTCGGTCGGCAACAACAGAAGATGACTAAAGTCAATGCTACTTAAATAGCCCCAAGCAAGGAAGGAAAATGTAATTAAGTGAAGCAATATTAAGCGTAGAACAAAGGGAGCAGACGGAAGATGGTGGTGGCAGGCTAGAGCCGCTGGCTCCTCCAGATTAATGCTCATATTGAGTTAATTAATCCAGATTGAGAGAGTCAGAGACCCAGGCCTTCTCCGGAGACTTGATCTTAACGCGGCAAAACGACGTCTTAGCGTCAAAAGAACTTCAGCGTCTTGCTCAGCGTATAATAACTACAACTTGGAGACTTGATCTTAACGAGGTAAAACGACGTCTCAGCGTCAAAAGAACTTCAGCCTCTCGCTCAGCGTATAATAACTACAACTTGGAGACTTGATCTTAACGCGGTAAAACGACGGCTCAGCGTCAAAAGAACTTCAGCGTCTTGCTCAGCGTATAATAACTACAACTACACAGCTGAATGAGATGAAATCCGTTCCTATTCATTTTTCGCTTGCTAATAACCTTACGTGTGACCTTATATGTGTGACCTATTTATGTGTTTATAACCTATTTATTTTTCGCTTGCTATTAACCTTATGTGTCTGGTTCAAACCTAAGTTCGTTTGATCCAGATGCTACGATAAATGCTTCGTAGAATAATAATAATGATAATAATGAAACGAACGGGGTTATAGTACAAGTCTGTGATTTTACATGAAACTGTATAAAGCAATTCATTGAATGTTACATTACCTGGTAATGTAATTCGGACTGCACACTGCGTGCACAGTCGTCTTATGAAATGAAACTAACAGGGATTGTACAAGTCTGTAATTTAATACGAAACTATACAACGCAGATCATGGAATGCTACATACCTAGTAATGTAAGTCGGACTGCACACTGCGTGCACACTGACGGAATATTATATAATGTCTTATTATGAAATGAAACGAACGGAGGATAGTACTATAGGCTGTGATTTTAAACGGAACTACCGTAGTTCAAGGAATGGTAGAGACCCGGTTAATGTGCGTATTAGGAAAGACAAGGGTTCTTGTTCTCTCAAACACGATTTCTCATGGAAGGAGTGCATCTTCAAATAAGCTACATAAAATTACCTACTTAGGTTACAGAATCTAGGTTCGTGCTCTTCAATACAGTTGAATTCGATGTCAATGTGAAAAACTTCAGTAATAATTCTTTCTTGAGCAATAAATAATTTTTACATTTTTTAAAAGTCTTCTTGAATGTAATTTAAATAACACACATTTAAATTACATCGGAAGTTGTGACGAACATTATTCTTACCGAATTTTGACTTCTTTGGAGAGCCAATCAGCGTGACGATCGAAGCAGATGAGCAAGGCAGCGATCTCCTGTAGAGGAACAAGAGATATTGAGACACCACAGCCTGCAGCAGCAGTTAAACCTTCTACCGCCTGACATGAATAACCGGAGCAATAAATATTACGAATCTGATATTATCGTTCTAAACACTGGAAATATAAATCGAGTCGCTGGGTCAGATTTTACTGCCAAAAAAACTTGCGCGTGAATGATGATATCTAATTTATAGACCTGGTCGTACATATATAAAAAGGGCAGTAGAAGCTGCCGCAATGATTCTATGCACGATTTAACCCTCTACCGCCTGACATGAGTAACCGGAGCAATATTGTCACAAGCCTACTTCCCAAAAAAGGATACGTTCTAGTGAGCGCAAAATGACTTGCACTGATGGTTGCCGCCACGTACGACAACTTTAAAATGTTCTCTGTTGCGTACAAACGTCCTCAGGTTGCTATACACTCAATAGTTTACGTATAATTTAAGTTAGGTTAATAACCAATACTACGTCCTCAGGTTGCTTCACTCAACAGTTTACGTATGATTTCAGTTGAAAGTTATGTTCCGGGAGAGTGACATAAGGCGGTAGTGGGTTGACACCTAATTCTAATGCAGGAACCTGCCTAGTTTCCCAAATAAAAATGATTCAGCTCGAAGAAAATGACTGGTAACATAGGAAACTTATGAACTTAACTAAGATTATTTCTATTATTTAATTCGAATTTTACATGAGACACGACTATCTTTATAGCTTAAGTGCAGACTAATGGAAGAAATTGTAATAAATTAAGAAAGGCTTATTGTTTAAATTATTATTATTGTTACTACTAAGTTTGAAACAATAGAATGAATAGTATGCTTTTAATTGTCTATTGATCAGCACAAAAAGTGGAAAACAATTGAAAAATTTTTGATGTAATAATATTATGTTCTGGAGGAATAAGTAAGGACAAAATATTGTGAGAGAATCAGGTCAAGATTCATTAAGCTTTCAATAATATAGTACCTTAGAAAATTTTTAATAGATATATAAAAGTTTGTTTAATAAAATAGCTGGTACTTTCAATAATAGTTCCGGAGAAAATTTTTCCTAGAAATCTAAAAGTTTGTGTAGTAAAATAGCATGCAGGTAGGTTGATTAACATTTAAAAGAAGAACTACAGTCTTGAAGACCAAAGTAGAAATAAAATAAGCTGAACAATTGAGTAGCGATATAAGCGGTGACGAATACAAACTCAGAAAATGTACGGTGTATTGTCTAAATCATTACACACTTAATGCAGTGTAGCACTGTTACGCCCTTACTCCGCTGAAAACTGGATTAGGATGACCCACAAAAGGGCAAAAAGAGCATAGCTATTTGGAACAAATCGCTTAGGGTTCTCTGAGTGTGCAGGCAATTAGAAAGGACAGTGTTGGGGTGAGGAGTTATAGTGAGTCGGGTGTTGCCCCTAACGCTAACTCACGCACCTAATTAGCTCCTAAAGCTCATACTAATGAGCGGCTAGTCGCGTCTCTCGCCACATTCACACACAAACTACTAAGGCAGCTTTCAAATTAACGCGCGTGTACTTCTCTTTCGCACGAGCTCGACATGGCAGGTATGCTCAACAACTTATTTTAGACGAGAATTAAACAAAACTCTTTAAACGTATTAATTTCAAACAGGCTTGGTTGTAAGCACAATGGATTAACTCAGAACTGACGAGAAAGCTTTATTTTGGAATATAAATCCAGAAGTCATTTGTACAGAAAGTTAAAATTTGTGCAGTGAAATACACTTGAAAAAAATGAAAGTCAGGAGCGAAAAGAGGGAGGGGAACAACGGTTGTAAGCACGACGGATTCAACTCAGAACTGACGAGAAAGCTTTACTTCAGAATTCAGCACCATTGCTACCTACTAGTCAATATTGTGGTCCCCTACTATACTTCCGCCCGACATGTAAGGGACATGTAAATTCCCATAAAAATCGCACAAATAAATAAATAAAAATGAAGTAAAAGCTTGTAAAACATCAAGAATGATTGTTCTGCCCGTTGGTCAGTAGAAGAAGCAATGGTTCATCGATAGTGGTATGAACATCAGTAGTGGTATGAATGGTTCATGAAAATTGGTATAAATGGTTCATCGGTAGTGGTGAGAATGGTTCATGAGAAGTGGTGTGAATGGTTCATGAGATGTGGTATGAATGATTCATCGGCAATGGTATGAATGGGTCATCGGTAGTGGTATGAATGGTTCATTAGTAATGGCATGAATGGTTCATTAGTAATGGCATGAATGGTTCATTAGTAATGGCATGAATGGTCCATTAGTGATGGTGAATGATTCATCGGCAGTGGTATGAATGGTTCATCGGTTGTGGCATTAATGGTCCATTATTGATGGTATGAATGGGTCATCAGTAGTGGTATGAATGGTTCTTTATATAGTAATGGTATGAATGGTTCATCAGTAATGGTATGAATAGCACATCAGTAATGGTATGAATGGTTATGAATGGTTCATCAGTAATGGTATGAATGGTTCATCAGTAATGATATGAATGGTTCATCAGTAATGGTATGAATGGTTCATCAGTAATGGTATGCATGGTTGTCATACCTCATTGGTGTTCCATCGGTGCCGCTGTGTAGGGAAGTGGTCCGCCTTCGGGATGCTCTCCAGGTTGTCCGGCAATCGCACGCTCTCAAAATCTGGAAAATACAATTTTCGAACATTAAAATTTATCGAAAAGATCAAAACGTGAAATAATTAACTGTTGTGGGAGAAACAGCATTACCGAATTTTTCACGAAGTAACAGAAAACTAATTGATTCTACGAAACAAATTAATCGACTATTTTCACTGGGAACCTATTTTGTAGCAGTTATTATTTCTATTGGAAACCTTTTTTCTAGCAGTTATTTCCACGGGGTACTCGTGGAAATAACTGCTAAAAATTAAGAAAACTTCACAATGTTCAAAATAAAAACTTCACAATGTTCATTCGCGTTCACGAAGAACTTTTCTTAATTCCCAATTTATCCTCAGGGGTAAAACAAACTAATTAAGATACACGCAAGTTCATTCGCGTACACGAAAAACTTTTCTTAATTCCCAATTTATTCTCATTGGTAAAGCCCTAACAAAATTTAGAGTCGCCCCAGCTTCTGGTAGTCGCCCAAATCAGAAGCTGCCGCGTCTGTATATTTTCACTGGGAATTAAGAACTCCTACCCTAACAAAATTTAGAGTCGCCCCAGCTTCTGGTATGCTTCTGGTAATCCAAATCAGAAGCTGCCGCGACTGTAAATTTTCACTGGGAAGAACTCCTACCCTAACAAAATTTAGAGTCGCCCCAGCTTCTGATTATCCAAAGCAGAAGCCGCCGCGTCTGTAAATTTTCACTGGTAGGTTAAGGGCGGGGACGTGAGGGCCGTCAGCCCCTGAGAGCCTCAACAGATTAGTGGGGTTTTCGGTCAACAATTACACGACGGCTCCTGAGACCGACGCCCACCACGGAAACAATAGTCGGGAATTACAGCAACAAAACCTCACAAAAACACGACCATTCGTTAACCTGCTCGACGATCAGGAGAAATGTTTGCTGATGGCTCGACTATTATTGTGAGCAAGACTCGCGCGATTTACGATAAAATAAAACGAATATTTAATAAACCATATGCTGGTTAGCATTTGTAATTACGAAATAAATTATCGCTGATGATTAAATTATTTTCATGAGTAAATAATCATAAAAAAGGCCATTGCAAGAGAAGAAACGTATTTTGAACAATATCGTGATCATACGTTTTAGACTGAACAAGAACGCTTCAATATTAATAAACGTACTTCGAACAACATCGAGATCAAATGTTTTAAACTGAACAAGAACGCTTCAATATTTTAAAACGTACTTCGAACAACATCGAGATCAAACGTTTCAGACTGAACAAGAACAAGAACGCTTCAATATTAAAAAACGTACTTCGAACGCCATCGACATCAAACGTTTTAGACTGAACAAGAACGCTTCAATATTAAAAAACGTACTTCGAACAACATCGAGATCAAACGTTTTAGACTGAACAAGTCCGCTTCAATATTAAGTGCCATCAGAGCTCAACATTATCCCGCTCCCTGAAGTATTGGACTCGTCTGGGCCGCAGCTGCTCAAGGCCGAAGACGTAAAGCGAGTCGGTCCCTCAGGACCAAATGACTGAGATAGCAAATGTTGAAGAGCGTCCCGCAATGCTCGTGAGGAAAGCAAGTCCTCACAGAGGCAGCAGGTTCTGCAATGCTCGTGAGAAAAGCAAGTCCCCACTGAGGCAGCAGGTCCTGGAATGCTCGTGAGGAAAGCAAGTCCCCACAGAGGTAGCAGGTGCCCGCTAACTGTGCTAAGTGGGAGGAGATCGTGACCCGACTGCTTCTGGCCCCCCGAGGCAACATCTCGAGTTGGAAATACCACAGAGGGCACAGTATCGTGATCTTAATCTCCTCGCTTAAACCGACACCGTAAGCAATAATACCTGAGACAGCACCACTAATTAATTATGGCCTGCACGTAGGCCTACAATCAACGTATGAGCTCGGAGATATCCTGGACAAGGCAAAGAACCTTTTTACTTGACTGCACTTCTAATGATGGATAAATATTACAATACTCGTCAGCATACATACAAACTTTGGATAAATGTCACAATCCTTGTCAGTATACATAAAAACTTTGGGGAAATGTCACAATGCTTGTCAGCATACATACGAACTTTGGATAAATGTCACAATTCTCGTCAGCATATATACATACAAACTTTGGATAAATGTCGCAATGCTTGTCAGCATACATAAAAACTTTGGGGAAATGTCACAATCCTTGTCAGCACACTTACAAACTTTTGAAAATAAATAAAGGACAACCCAGCGAACACGGCGGACCTCTTCGAGAACCATAATGGATTTTTGACAACAAATACGCTTCGAAGATTAAGTTAGCGGGATATCCGCTCTCACCTACAGCTGAGATTTTGAAGAAGATAATATAGAGACCATAAGCAGAATATGGATGCAATATGTTGATGCTCCATAAAGTTGATCTCGATGTTGAATTAAAGTTTATCTCGTATGCTTATCTCATTTAGAATCTGTGGTGCATTTCTTGTCTGAGCAGAATATGCTCAGATAAGAAATGCACCACAGATTCTAAATGAGATAAGCATACGAGATCAACTTGAAATTCTAGGCAAGAGACAGAAAAAAATTCAACAAAAAATTCTTAACGAAATTTGGAAGCAACGATTAAAAAAACGATGAACCATGCAGAGATTCCTGACATAAGGTCTGGCTGAAGTTCTCCCAACAATGGTTAGATAAATTTCCGAATTGGGCTGCGAATTAATCAGTGTTTAAGGGGCATTAGCTGCGAGTAGAATTGGCTGCATGCATGTAGTACTTTAAATGTGCGGGATAGTGAAGCCTGGACAGTGAATTGAATTCAGCGGACAGTGAAGTTTGGCCGACATTCCGCTATTACTAAGGTCACTCAATCACAGAAGTTGAATGTAAAGCCGAGCTGAATCGCCGAAGATGAACAAATAAAGGTAACAAATAGTAGAGAATTACGGGTAAATTACACAAAATTGTTTCAACAATAACTAACCAACAAAAAACACCGCATTTTTTCCCAGTTTGGGTAGGTCGAGGGTTGCATATCGCTCATAACTAATATGAGCATATGAATTAAGAATTAACTCTAAGTAGTCTAAGATTACATATATCTAAAAATATCTTTTAAAACGTTGGCCCAGCACCATGTGCGAAATTTCTCCTATGTAAACTTTAAAATCTCAGCCGTAAAACACAAGTGTTAGAATTGAGGTCAGATAAGTAAACTAATAAGGTGATATCAAGCAAGAAAATCAAGCGTAAAGCTTCCCTTGAGAAAATTTAGATGCCATAACTCCCCTTGATTAGTAAAATGTTCTAAATAAATTCACAATGCTTAGGGTAGGTAAAGTATCATCACAGCCACAGGGTCGGATAATCAGAATTGAGTGTGGCATGAAGAGGTTTCAGAGGCGGAACTGCGCGCTAATAACATTAATTAACCTCGCAACAAGCTTTAATCAAGACGGAACCACGTAGAAATTGTGGGTTCAAAACACACACTCAGACAGTAAACGATGCGAGGCGAGTGATCACCCTTAACTATTGAGATAATTCTGGCGTCTTTCCATCAAGTCAACAAAGTAGTGTGAATGCCTAGCGAGTTGTTTGCACTTGCATCTAAAAATAAACGCTACATTTGCTAAACATATTTCAGAAGAAAATGTAGTTAGCTTGATGAGTGGAGCATCGCACACGCAACTTCGAGCAGAGTTGAAGCGAATATGGGACTGCCCGCGCACCGACAGCTTTGAATGTAGGGCGAAACTCTTAACTAATCTTACTGCCAGATAACGAGGTGATGATCCTTAGTGTGTTTACGAGGAATAATAGTGGGCCATAAACTATGCTCATAATTAACAAACAAATTATTTTAATAACCAGAAAAAATAATGTAAAATTATAACCATAATTTTAATTACCAGAAATCGAAAATTATCGATTGCTTGATAGCCGCAAAGTTATTAACAGTTCTTGAGAGGCAATGTTCTTAGAATTTGGAAACGTGTAGAGGGCTCTAGAAGTTGATATGAAAAACGTGCACAAACACGAATAATTATCACCAAAAATAATAATAAAGAAAATAGATGATTGATGCTTCGTCCATATATTAAGCACACGGAAAATTTTCTAACATCGCGCCCTTTTAAATAATAGTCATCAGAAAAATACAATTAGAGAAATATAAGGTAGAGGAAGCAGTGTCTTACGATAATCTCTAATTAACTTGAGCTTATAATTGTAGCAGCTAAGGCAACAGACAGTTTGAAAGAAAACAGTCAAGTTTTGCTATGCTAGAAAAATACACTTCATCATTGAAGCATCAGCAGACACTTCAGACGGAGAAGGGAAGGTCTGCTACGCAGACACAACCCATAGTCCCACACTAAGAAGAAGGAAAAGTCTGCTACGCAGACCTTTTTGCCACACTAGGAGAAGGAAAGGTCTGTTACGCAGACATAACCCATAGTGGAAAGGTCTGCTACGCAGACATAACCCCTAGTCCCACACTAGGAAAAGGTCTGCTACGCAGACATAACCCCTAGTCCCACACTAGCAGGAAAAGGTCTGCTACGCAGACATAACCCCTAGTCCCACANGTCTCTTATACACATCTAGATGTGTATAAGAGACAGCCCCTAGTCCCACACTAGGAAAAGGTCTGCTACGCAGACATAACCCCTAGTCCCACACTAGCAGGAAAAGGTCTGCTACGCAGACATAACCCCTAGTCCCACACTAGGAAAAGGTCTGTTTACCATTCATGCCGGCAACCGGCCATCATAAAGCGGAGGCAAGTTGGCCGCAGCATCTCCATAAAGGCGATGCTTTTCATCAGCGCTCGCTGGCTGACACGAGACGCTCAGCTCCAGAACAGCCACGTACACACATTATTCCTACGAATGAGGCCTTATTTGTGTCGCTGGGACCCAGCAATATCAACTTTATTATTTCTTTTACTAAATACGTAAGTAAATGTACTAATTATCTTGTGAACAAGTACGGTATTACGAGTAAATATAACACTGTTGGACCACTAGGTTCATCAAATA